TGCCTGCCCTGTGGGATGGGTCCAGGGCAGGGCAAGGCAGTTGGAGGGTGCACTGAGGGGTCCCGGAAGATGGGTAGGCAGGGCCCAGCTGACCCTTCTTGGAGGTGTTCGGGGGGATGCAACAGTTGGATGAAGGGAAGGTCTGTTGGTAGGAAGACCAAGGCCCCTGCACCCCCAGTTCTCAGAGAGGCACTGGGAAGCAGCAGGAGTGTGTAAGGCGATTGCTCCCCAGAAAGGAGAGGGAAGGGGAGGCGAAGCAAGCGCCCAGCCCCCAGGCGCCCCTCCAGGCAGCAGCCACTTTGGGTGTCCATCAGAGCTCTCCCCACTCCCTCACCCACCTCCCTGTGCTCCCATCCCAGGTACAGGGTGTACCCCGAGATGGGGGGATGCCTCCTGCTTAAAGAACTACAGGGGACACCAAGGCTGTCTCCCCACTCCCCCAACTCTCTGGCCGCACGCAGTGCTCTGTGGGGGAGCCAGGCCCCCCGCTCTAGAGTGTGGGGATGCTGGAGCCCCTGTGCTAGCTCTGGGCAGCTTTGTGCTCCATACCCGGTGTATGGCAAGTAGCAGCTGCTCTTGTTTTCTGACAGTCGCCAGGGGCTACTCCTGGCTCTCTGCTCAGGGATGACTCCTGCCATCCAGAGGAGCGGGTAGCCGCGACCTGCAAGGCAGGCACCATGCCGTGCTGTCTCTGGCACTTCATGTTTTTATTGTGGCTTAGGTGACACGGTCATGAGAGTATTAAGGCGTATTGCTTTGGTGTACGATGCTACTGTTACTGCACCCCCATCACCTCTTAAGTGCCCGAGACCCTCCATCTCTGTCCTCAAGCCACTTCTAGGTCACCTCTTCCTGAGCCCGTTCCTTGGCAATCTCAGGTTGTTTTTGTTTTGGCACACCCTTGGCAGCACGCAGACCTGATTCTTGGCTCTGTGCTCAGGTGTCGCTCCTGGCGGGCTCTGGGGACCATATGGAGTGCTGGGGTTTGAGGCAGGTTGGCCGTGTGCAAGGCAGGGAGGCCCTCCCGGCCACACATCGCTCCAGCCCCGAGCAATCTGTTCTGTAGCCAGAGACCAAGGGTTATCACTTGGCACCATCTAGTCCCCGCTTGTGTTTCTCTGCATGCCACAGATGAGTGAGATCATCTGGTATTTATCCTTCTCTCTGACTTCTCTTAACATAACACCTTCCAGTTCTATCTGCACGGCAGGGAATGGCAAGATTGCAGTTTTTCTCACAGTGGCGTCATTAGTCATTATCATTCGTAGCCTGGCTATTGTACTTAGCTGCAGAGAACACTTTTGCTTCTTTTTTTTTTTTCTTGCTTTTTTTTGGGGGGGTCACACCCGGCGATGCACAGGAGTTCCTCCTGACTCTGCACTCAGGAATTACCCCTGGCGGTGCTCAGGGGACCATATGGGATGCTGGAAATCGAACCCGGATCGGCCGCGTGCAAGGCAAACGCCCTACCCCCTGTGCTATCGTTCCAGCCCCTTTGCTTCTTATTTTTGAGTTAATGTTTTGTGTTCTTGGAGTAGGTGCTGAAAGGTAAAATGCAGAGACAGATTTTCTTAGCACCAGATCGAGCAAACTTATGCCACCCTAAGACTAGATAGCAGCATTCAGGAATGCAGCCACGTTGGGACGTTTCAAACAGGTGGGGGAGAAAGCAGATGGCAGCAGGAAGGCATATGGAACCTGTGGATAGCGCAGACACGCAGACGACAGGTAGAATGACCTGTTGGGGTGATGGTGGCCTGGAACTCATCTTTGGGCAGGGAGGGAGAAAGAAGGAATTCTGGGTCGACTTGGCGGTTGTACTGTTTACAACACAAGACTTCGAACAAGATGAATGTGGGGCCAGAAAGATGATGCAGGGTGTGAGGCACCTATCTTGCACACAGCCAAGCCTCCTTTGATCCCTGTCACCACCAGGCGCCCCCAAGTACTGTTGCAAGTGACTCCCAGATACAGAGCCAGGAGTATCACCCACCCACACCCAAGTACTGAGGCATGGCCCCAAAACCCAAAAAGACAAACATGCGTGATGGCCTCAGTAGGAAAAACAGGAGGGTGCTGATCTAGGTGTAATTGGAGGATGATCCATCCCTTAAGTCCCCTGACATTCTACATTTGGGGATGCCTGAAATTTTATTTTTTTATATTTATTTTAGGTTTTTGAGCCACAGCCAGTGATGCTCAGGGGTTATTTCTGGTTTTGCACTCAGGAATTATTCCTGGCAGTTACTGGAGACCATGTGGGATGCTGGGGATTGAACCCAGGTTGGCCATATGAAAGATAAGAACCCTACCTGCAGTCACTGTTCCAGCCCCTGGAATATCTGTTTTATTTAACAGGAAAGAAATTCATTTTATTTATTTATTTTTTGCTTTTTGGGCTACATCCGGCGATGCTCAGGGGTTGCTCCCGGCTGATGCACTCAGGAATTACTCCTGGCAGTGCTCAGGGGACCATATGGGATGCTGGGAATCGAACCTGGGTCGGCTGCATGCAAGGCAAATGCCCTACCCACTGTCCTATTGCTCCAGCCCCAGAAATTCATTTTATTGTATTTATTTTTTAATGAATCACCGTGAGGTACAGTTACAGACTTACAAACTTTCGTGCTCACGTTTCAGTCATACAATGATCAAGAACCCATCCCTCCACCTGTGCCCATTCTCCACCACCAATGTTCCCAGTATCCCTCCTGCCACCCCCACCCCATCAAACCCCCCCAGGAATATTTGTATTAAATCTAGAGAAGGGTCCAAGAAGAAAACTAATACAAGGGTTAAGTCACTTGCTTTGCATGTGGTCGGCTTCTGTTCTCTCCCCAGCACCACATAAAGGGTCCCTGATCCCGCCAGGTGTGCCCCCCAAACCAAAACCAAACCCATAGCGATGGAAGAGGAGTTAGCTTGAGTGGCAGAGTGCAAGCCAGCAGGTGGAGGGTCACAGCCCCAGGCAGGCAGGGCTAAGAGGGCTTCCCCAGGAAGTTGCTTTAAAGAGAAAAAGCAATATTTCAGCTTTTCTTTTTCTTTTTGCTTTTGGGCCAGACCCGGGGTTATTCCTGGCTCTGCACTCCTGCCAGGTTCAGGGGACCATATGGGTTGCCAGGGATCGAACTCGGGTCTGCTGCCTGCAAGGCAAGCGCCTTATCCACCGTACTATCGCTGGGGCCCCTGGTCTGGCTTTTCAAAACTGGTAAGTTCTTTTGGCTTTGGTCTCAGCGTGGCTATAGCTATGATCGCGGTACAATCTGCATCAGTTTCTGGAATCACTGGCCTGCCCTGGGCAGCCAGCGTGGCGAGGCAGCATCCCTGCCACCCACGGGTCCCAAGGAGGACAAGACTGCACCGCGGAAAGGCACCCTCCTCCTTAGGGACAGACCTGGGGAAGCACACCTCCCGGGGCTCTGAGTCCAGCAGCCCCTCAATTTTATTCCTCTTTGACTCCTGCCTCTCAGCAGATGAGGACAGCAGGAGGCTGGGGGTCCTCAGCCTTTCCTCTCCCACGGGAAACGCCAGCGCTCGCGAGCAGTCTGTACTGTCAGCAACCCGAGGCCCTCCAGGCGGCCCTTAACTAGACCCCTGGTTTTGTCCACGTCGCCCGTTTGTTGTCCTTGAATAAACACCGCCTGGTTGGTTTGGTTCTCGGACCACACCAGCTATACTCGACACCTTCCCTGGCCTGTAGATGGTGCTGGAAGCAAGGTGGTTCTGCAGGTGCTGGAAACAAGGTGGTTCTCTCTGCAGACTCAGCGCCGTGATCCCCCCCACCGTCCCCCGGACTCCAACAGGCGGTTTTAATGGCTTTATTCTGATGGGACAGTTTTTTGCTTCTGTTTTCTGGACCGCAAAAGGCGGTGCTCAGGGCTCAAGGTCCAGGACCACAGGAGGCGCCGGGAGGCGGGACTGACGCAGACCACAGGCGTGGGGGCACAAGGGCGGGGTCTGGAGAGGCGCAGCTGGGTGGCCGCCCCCTCTAGGCAAAGCCTCGCGGACCCGCCGCCCCTGGGCCCATCTCGAGACCCCGCCCGCAGGGGGGGTCCTCACTGGCCGCGACGATCCTGCAAGTGCAGTTCAGCTTCTCCCGCAGCACCACGCACCGCCACAGGCCACGGGGACACGCCCCGCTTTCGGACCCCGGCCCGGCCCCCCGCTCAGGCCACTCGCGCCCGAAATCCCGCCCCGACTTGAGGCCTCGCCCCGAGCGGCTGGTCCAGACGCCGGCCGCGCTCGGCGCCGAGGGCCCGCCCCCATCGGGCCCCGCCCCCAACCCCGGGCCTATGTGCCGGCCGCGCGCAGTGCCGAGATCCCGCCCCCCACAGCTCCGGGTCCAGTCACCGACTGCGCTCCGTGACGAGTCCCGCCCCCCTCAGGCCCCGCCCTCAACCCCAGGCCCAGTCATCGGTCGCAAGGAGCGCCGAGATCCCGCCCCCCTCAGCTCCGGGTCCAGTCACCGGCTGCGCTCGGAGCCGAGGGCCCGCCCCTACGTCCAGGAGGCCTCGCCCCCGCTCAGGCCCCTCCCCCAGCTCCGACCAGTCGACGGCCGCGCTCCGTGACGAGGCTCCGCCTCCTTCAGGCCCCGCCCCCAACCCCGGGCCCAGTCCCCGGCCGCGCTCCGTGACGAGGTCCCGCCCCCGCCAGGCCCCGCCCCCAGCTCGGGCCCAGTCGCAGGCCGCGCGGCGCCGAGGTCCCGCCCCCCGCCCGCCCCGCCTTCAGGCTCGGCGCGCGGTCCGTGAGGCGGCGGCTTCGCGGTCCGAGGCCGGTGGCCGGTGACCGCCCCGGGCCGCAGGCCGCGGGTTCGAGTCCTCGCGTGCGCTCCGGGCCCCGAGCCGGGCGCCGGCCCCGTCCCGCGAGCGCGGCGGTTGCGGGTGGGGCGGGCCCGGCGCGCGGCGAATCTGCCGCTGCGAATCGGCGGGCGCGGCGGCGCGGCCTCGCGAGAGCGCGGGCGGCGCGGAAGCGGCGGCGGCGGCGGCGGCGGCGGCGGCGGCGGGCGGGCGGCCGGGGCGGCGGAGCCCGGGAGCCCGCACCCACCGGCGGCATGACGGGCCGCGTGTGCCGCGGCTGCGGCGGCACCGACATCGAGCTCGACTCGGCGCGCGGCGACGCCGTGTGCACCGGCTGCGGCTCGGTGCTCGAGGACAACATCATCGTCTCGGAGGTGCAGTTCGTGGAGAACAGCGGCGGCGGCTCCTCGGCCGTGGGGCAGTTCGTGTCGCTGGACGGTGAGGCGGGCCGGGCCGGGCCGGGGGCTCGGGGGTCGCGGGGGGCGGGGCCGAGCGGGGCCGGGGAAACTGAGGCTGGCGCGGGGCGGGGGAGCCAGCGGGAGCGGGTGCCCGCCCCCCGCCCCCCAGCGGCGCGGGTGGGCTCAGTGTGCCCTGCTCCCTGGGCAGCTGTCCCCGCGGGCCGGGGCGAGTCCCAGCGCGGTCACCCTGGGACCATTTGCAGGAGGCTGGAGCGGACACAAGTTTTCTCTCCTGGTGCCCCGGGCGGCTCCGCGCAGCTTTGCAGGAAGCCGTCCTGGTGGCCGTCCTGGTCCTGGTGGCCGTCCTGGTCCTGGTGGCCGTCCTGGTCCTGGTGGCCGTCCCGCCCTGGGGCCCCTGCCCGGGTGCAGATCGGGCGCTGTCCCTGTGCTGAAGGGCCCCGAGAGTGCTGGCTGGGCATTGTCTCCCCTCCCCGATGCTTTCTGTGGGACTCCCAAGTGGTCCCAGCCCGCCGCTGGACAGCCAGCAGGACACAGGCGCGCTGCCCAGGCCTCCCGATGCACCGGCACTCCTGCCGGGTCCCCATCCCCGTCGTCATCCCGGCTCTGTGACAGACTGGCCCTGGCTCCCTGCAGGAGATGCAGGCACTGCCGAGGCCATCCGGCCTGGGACAGTGCAGGATGGTCTTGTGCGTGTTTATCAGAAAGGCCTCCAGGTGTTGGTCAGCGGCAGACCCAGCCTCCTGATGGGCATCGAAAGAGTCGGCGTCCCCACGTGGGGTCTTGCAGCCCACGAGCACCGTTGGCTGGGGCTTCTCTCCGCTCTGGGGGTCCCTTTGATGCCGTTCGCTGGCCTTGGTGATTTCCCCAGCCCCTCTGTGTCCGTGGACACCAGCCTGAGATCTCCTCGGGGTCCTTTGGGTTTTGGTATTTCCCATTCCCGTCTGTTCGAAGGTGGCCCGATGGCTAATCTCCCCCGCGCACAGCCTTTTCCCACGACCTTGCTGAACTTAACGATGAGTTCTGGGACCCTGGCGTTTTCTGTGTCGCATGTCGACGGGCGCTGCTGGATTCCTTCTCTTTCTCTGACTTTCCTGTTCCCGCTGAGGGGAGTGTCCGCTCGCTTGCCCGGGGGCTCCGGGCTCGTCCTTGGCAAGATGTGGGGGAGTGGGTCGTGGGCACGCTGCAGCTGACCTGGACTGACCTTGCCCTCCTGGCTCCCCTAGTCCCACTGGGGGCTCAGCCTTCGTGGTGTGGCAGCGCTGGCCTCCACAGCGCCCCGTTTAGAGGCTCCTGTGTCCGCTGCCGAGGAAGTGGCCAGTGGCTCTCCTGGAGGGAACAGGTTCCAGTGCTCTCAGGGACAAGCGGGGGTGTGGGGGTCCCTTTTCTGTCTGTGCCAGAGTCGCTCCTGTCTCTGTGTGGCCTGGGGCTGTGCTGGGGCTGTTCCTGGTATTTGCAGAAGTTCTGGTGTGTTCCTATGTCTTATTGGTGGCCTGGGGCTGGCCCGGGTCCTTGGTGCCACCTGCAGGCCTGTCGTGATCCTTCTGTCACCACGGCTGTCCCTCGTGCTCAGGGCTCACTGTGCTCTGCTCTTGTCTCTCCCGACCTGGCGTGGCCCACTTCTGTGTTCTTCCGGGGATGCTGGGGGGTCCATCAGAGGGGAGGACAGACCAGAGCCCCTGGCCAGAGGGGAGGACGGGGCTGGGAGCAGTGGGACGGGCTGTGAAGAAGGACACAGTTGAGAGAGGAGGGACGAGGTCTGGACCGGAAAGAGGGAGCTGTGAGAGGGAGGATGGAGCTAGGAGTGGGAGGACGGTGTGAGCGGGAGGATGGGGACAGGAGCGGGAGGACGGTGTGAGCGGGAGTGTGAGCCGTGTGCGTCCTTCCCAAGCTGAGGCGCTGTGGCCCTGGCTGCCTTGTCCCTGCTCTTCCCTGGGGTTTGGGAATCGCGGCTTGGCTCCCAGTGGCCAGGCCTCTCTGCAGGCTCCCCGTATCCTTGCTGTCCCTCCGCTGGCCACTGGGAGATGGACCTGGCTGGGCATGCTGTCCTGCCCCTTCACTTCAGCAGGTCTAGTGTGAGTCTTGAGAATGCCGTGTTAAAACTTTTGTTTCATGTTATTTGAGCGGGGGCACACCCGGCGGTGCTCAGGGGTCACTCCTGCTTGTGTTCAGGGGACCATGTGGGGTGTCGGGGAGTGGACCCGGGTCAGCCAGACCCGAGGCAAGCACCCTACCTGCCCCTCGATCACAACTGTTAGAAGGGGGGTGGCCGCCAGGAGTAATTCCTGAGTGCAGAGCCAGGAGTAACCCGGGGGTGGAGTGCTCCCCGCCCCACCTGCGCGGAGGCCTGCGCGCCCCTGGCCTCTTCCTTCTGGTTTGTTTTTCCTGGGGGTGCAGAGTATTGGTCCCTACTTCCAAGCTGCATCCCCGTCCCCTTCGGCTCTTAAAACAATTGTTCTGTCTTTTTTTTTTTTTTTTTTGCTTTTTGGGTCACACCCGGCGATGCACAGGGGTTCCTCCTGGCTCTGCACTCAGGAATTGCTCCTGGTGGTGCTCGGGGGACCACATGGGATGCTGAGAATCGAACCCGGGTCGGCTGCATGCAAGGCAAACACCCTACCCGCTGTGCTATCGCTCCAGCCCCAGTTCTGTTCTTTTATCACTTTCCTCCTTAAGTAAGAATCTGGCTGACCAGCCAACACGGTCTCTCTCCCTCTGACTCACAAATTCTGTTGTAAACTCCTTCTGGACTTGTTTTCCCCACACCTGGCTGCGGTCAGGGCTCCCTCCTTGCTCTGCACTCACCGATTCTTCCTGCAGGGCTTGGGGGACCCTTTTGGGTGCTGGGGCTTGAACCCAGGTCAGCGTGTGCAAGGGAAGCACCCTACTTGCTCTCCTATCTCTTCATCCCGGGAATTTTTTTTTTAACTTTTGTGTTTGGGCCACTCCTGGAGGTGCTCAGAGTTTACACCTGGCTTCACGCTCTGGCATCTCTCCTAGAGAAATTTGGGGGACAAAATGGGATCTCGGGGATTGAACCTGGGTTTGGCCATGTGCACAGCAAGTCTCTAAACCCCTGATGTCTAGCCCTGGCCCTCCTTCCTGCGAAGGGCAAACGGCATCTTTTTCAGGGCTGAGTAGTGCTCTGTTTGCCCCTGCCTGGCACTGTGCTGGTCTTGGTCCCAGCACAGGCCTCAGTCGTGGTGACCTTTCTCCTCCGCCTGCCCTTGCACCCTCCATGCGCCGCCACCCTGCATCCACCCCGGCCACCTCCCCACTGGACACTGCCCAACAGGTGAGCCCTGTCCACCTGCTTTCCCGGCAGTGCCCAGGGCTGAGAACTCGAGTGTATGTAGTTGGGTGTGAGTGTGTGTGCTTGTGAGCATGTGAGTGCATGTGAGTGCTGTGTGTGAGCACATATGCATGCCTGTATTGACATAGGTGATTGCATGTTCCTGTGTGTGCTTGTACGTGCACGTGCATGTCGGTGCCTCCGTATTTCTGGTGGGAATGTGTGTGTGTGTGTGTGTGTGTGTGTGTGTGTGAACGTGTGAGTGTGGCCATGTGCACGGGAAGTGGGGGTCCCGGGGTGCAGGAAGGGCCGGGAGGAGTTGGGTGTTGGGGGGGGCTCTGCTTGCCAGCGTGCTCGGCTGCGACTTTCTCCCTGTGACCAGGGGAGGGAGGACCCCCGCGGGCCCACCCTGACGGGCTGACGGGCTCTGGATGCCGCACCGAGAGGCTGCCGTGGTGGGTTGCTACCCATCCTGCCCCCATGTTTTAGCTTCTGCCCCTGAGAGCCCAGGGGCTGGTTTGGGGGCCACATCCTGCTGGCCCGGGACCTGGGGTCTCCATGTGGGCAGGGCAGCCCCGCGGTCCTCGCCGGGCACTTCCTGATGGTCTGCTTCCTCCTGGCCTGGCCCTTGCCGGGAGGGGGCACCCCGGGGCTGCCGCTTTGTGTTGGGGGGCCTCTCCATGCAGCTGTGTCAGGGGCCCCTGCAGCAGAGATCACAGCTGTGCCATCGCACCTGTGGAGGCCCAGCCGGGGGGCGTCTGCCGCGGGGGGAGCCGGGACGGCTGATGGGGCCCTTGCGTTCCAGGTGCCGGCAAGACCCCTACCCTGGGTGGCGGCTTTCACGTGAACTTGGGCAAGGAGTCGAGAGCGCAGACGCTGCAGAACGGTAAGGCCCGGGGTGCGGCCGCAGCCTCTGCCCTGACACCCCGTTTTCCGAGCACCAACACTCCAGTGGCCTCAGCTTGCCAGTAGTGACATCACCTTGGACTCAGTGGCCCTGGGGGAGGGGGGTTGTGCCAGTGTCACCCCCAGGGCCCTGGCCCTCCCGGTCCCACTCCAAGCGTGCCGTGCCATGGCCTGTGCTGGCCCAGGCTGTGCTCTGCCCAGGCCCTGCCCCCTACTAGGCTCTAGGTGTGGCCGTGTGCTGCGGCCTCCTGGCTGCTCCCTGGACTGTCCCGCCCAGCATGGACTCGGCAGCCGTGGCTGGGCAGCCTGCGTTGGGCTCTTGCTCTCCGCTTCTCTTGAGATGCTCCCTACCTCATCTCAGCCCCGCGCTTCCGGGCCGGTCCCGCTTCAGGAGGGACACAGTGCCCTGGACCCCGGGGCCGGCCCAGTCTGTCCTGTCCGGGGGTGGTCGCTGGGCGTCACCCGCTCCCTTGTGTCCCAGGGCGGCGGCAGATCCATCACCTGGGGAACCAGCTGCAGCTGAACCAGCACTGCCTGGACACCGCCTTCAACTTCTTCAAGATGGCCGTGAGCAAGCACCTGACGCGCGGGCGCAAGCTGGCCCACGTCATCGCCGCCTGCCTCTACCTGGTCTGCCGGACCGAGGGCACACCCCGTATCCTTCCTGCCGGCCGGCCCTTGGTGGCGGCGCGGGGGCAGGGGCCCCTCTGCTCGCCAGTTCCAGGGCCCAACTTCACTCCGGCTGCAGGGTACCCATGGGGCCCGGCGCAGCCCCTCAACGTCACAGGCTCGCCCCAAAGACCTCACGCATCTTGAGCCGCCTCGGCATGGATGTGAAGATCACCAGGGCTTTTGGGAGCTCCCCAGCCTCACCCCACAGCTGGGGGGCCTCCTAAACCCTCTGTGCCGTCTGTGCCATGCCAGCAGCGTGCCCCTGCAGCTCGGAGGGACAGGGTGGCCTGGTGTCACTGCTTCCAGGGTTCCAGGTGCTGTGGCGGCTCTGGGATCTGGCCCAGCTTCTGTGTCCCCCAGAGCATGGGGACGCTCACAGTGGAAGGATGGCCAGAGGCCACAGAGTGAGGGGGGCTGGTGCTGTCGCTCCCACGGGCGGGGATGGGTGGGGGTGTGCTCCCACAGACGGGGTGTGATTGTGTGTTCTCCTGCAGATCGGTGAGACTGGTGTGTGCTTCCACAGATGGGGGTGTGTGTGTGTGTGTGCCCGCGCACACGCACGCGCTGCCACAGATGAAGGTGGATATGTGTGGGCTCCCACAGACCGGGGAGATGGGTGTGTGCGCCCACAGATCAGAGAGGTGCGTGTGTGCTTCCACAGACGTGTGTGTGTGTGTTCCCAGAGACCGGGGTGACTGTGTGTGTGCTGCCGGTGTGGACCTGGGGCGGGGGTGCGGGGCCTGCCTGGATGCCGGGCCTCCTCGCCTGCGTGCTAGCCTGGGCGCTAGCCAGGCCTGCCCTTGTCGCCTGGTGGACACGCAATATCGGGGCCTCTTCCGTATCCCCCTGCCCTTCTCCCTTGGCGCCGCCACCAAAAACCCAGGCCTGGGAACTGCGATATTGCCACCTCCTTTGCTGTGGCCCTCCGTGCGCCGGGCCTGGCCGCATGCCCCCTGCCCACCCCAGCACGTCCTCGAGGTCACCTCTGCCCTTTGTGGGAGCGGCTATTAGATCGCTGGTGCCTGGCTGAGGTCGGTGAGCGTGTGTCCAGGAGACGGTGCCCTCCTGCCCGAGCTCAGCCGCAGGGGGGCACCAGACCGGGGGTGCTGTCAGAACCGGCCCTGGGCCCCCGACGCTGAGCGCGTCCCTCCCTCCTGTGTTCGGCAGTGACCTCTTTGGGGCTGTGTGCCTGGCAGGCACCGGACCCCGCGCTGTCTACCCTCGTGGGTGACCCGGCTGAGGTCCCTTGGGAGACTCTGTTCGGAGGGATTGGAGTGTCCAGGTCACCTCGGACTAGGCTGGCTGGGGCGCTTCCTTCACCCCGGACGCTTAGGGAAGTAGGTGTGGCAGCGTCCCATGGGCTGATGGATGTGGCCTCCCAGGGCGAGCTGCACTCCTCTGCTTGTGTGTGACTGTGTGACAGTGAGTGTGTGTCTGTCTGTGTGTGCAGGGAGCGCTGTGTGACAGTGAGTGGGGTCTGTATATGTGGTGTGTGTGCAGGGAGCACTGTGTGTAACTGAGCAGGGAGTGGTGCGTAACTATGTGAGCAGTGAGTGGGGTCCTGTGTGCACGCAGGGGGCATCGTGTGTCACTGTCTCAACAGTGAGTGGGATTCATGTTTGTGTGTGTGTGCAGGGGGTGCTGTGACTGTGACAGTGAGTGGGGTCTGTGTGTGTGAGTGCAGGGGGCGTTGTTTGTAACTATGTGAGCAGTGAGTGGGGTCCGTGTGTGCGTGTGCAGGGGGCACTGTGACTGTGACCGTGAGTGGGGTCCGTGTGTGTGTATGCGCACGGGGGGGGGGGGCGCTGTAACTGTGAACAGTGTGTGTGTGTGTGACTGCAGGAATTGTCTCGGAACACCCATGGTGGCGCCGGCAGCTGTGCCCTGCCCTTGCTGCACGTGCTGAACTCTTGCATATCCGAGGTCGTCAGTGACCTGCATCGCCAAGGGTCCCCAGGTCCCTGTGCCAGGATTGCTGCATGCAGGTGGTGTGACGTGCTCAGAAGGGGCACTGCCTTGCCAGGCCTCCAGCCGCGGCGTCAAGGCTGCCCCAGCATGGCCCACGTCCAGCGGCACATCGGTGTCAAGCTCTCAGCGGGTGCCCTTCCCACAGAGCTGCTCCAGCCCCTCGTTGCCTGCACCCAGCCATGCCCACGCCGGGGGCTGCCCTCTGCTCTCCCTCTGTCCCGCTGGCTCTCGTGGCTTACCCTGGCCACGCTGTGGGCCGGGTGGCACTGCTGGCGCTGGCATCTCAAGTGCTCTGCATGTCACCGGCCACTGCACATTCGAGCAGGGTCACAGCTGGGTGACCCGCCCACGTGATGTGTCCTCAGAACTGAGTGCAGGGACAGTCACTTGGGCCTGTGGTGGGGAGGGCAGGCACGTCCATCTGCTCCTTGACCCCACCTCAGACATGCTTCTGGACCTCAGTGACCTGCTGCAGGTAGGCCCCCCCTGCGTGGGCGAGTGCGGTGGGGACTGGGTCCTCCTGCCACCCTGCGAGCCCCAAGGTGGACAGCAGACCTCAGGCGTGACTTGGCCTCTTGCTGGGCCACATGGTGGTGCTCGGGGATCACTCGGCTGGGGTGCCCGGGCTGGAACCCGGTTGCCCGTGTGCAGAGAGCGCCTCACCCGCCTTCCCTCTAGCCCTTTGCTTCCCTCTCGGACCTCTGGGTGCAACCCTGGCCCCGGGGTGCCCCTGCCGAGCTGGCCTGCGTGTCCTCACAGGTGAATGTGTACGTCCTGGGGAAGACCTTCCTGCTGCTGGCCCGAGAGCTGTGCATCAACGCGCCGGCCATCGGTGAGTGCGACCTTCCCAGTCGGGTCAGAGGGCGACGCTGCCTGGGGGCCAGGGGCTGGGGGCCAAGGCGTGCGGTTCACGCCTGCTACAGGCTAACTGCGTGTGGCTCTTCGTTCCAACTTTATTATGAAAACCCACTTTAAATAGACAAACTATTCTGAGTGACTCTTCCCTGCCCGGTGGGAAGGGAAGCCTTACGTTCCACTTGGGACAGGAGTAAGGGAGAGAGGACGGCAGGCAGGCGGCACAGGGCCACTGGCAGGGCCGCCACCGAGGCCCGCCACAGTGCCGGGCGCCCCTCGCACAGGGGCTTCCCTGCCCCTCGAGCCGTGAGTGCGATTCAGGCGTAGAAGATGAGCTCGGGGATCTGCCCGCCCTGCACGCCGGTGCCGTTGGTGCTGTCCGAGGAGCACTGGAACTGGAAGGTGACCTTCCCGCACTGCACCTCGGTCATGCCCTCCTGCCCGAAGTAGCTGAGCTCGCTGCCGTCCAGCACGGCGCTGGCCGTGTAGAAGGCGTCCTGCTCCACCTGCACCGGGTGCTCAAACCACACGGGGAAGGTGTGGCTGGAGCCGTCGGACACAAACGTGGTCAGGTTCTGCGCCAGGACCACCCCCAGCCGCTTGAGTTCGATCCTCACGCTGTACTCGGCCCTGCCCGAGCTGGAGCCGTACAGGCCCAGGCCCGCGATGAACACCCGACGGTCCACAGCGAACTGGATGCTGTCGCAGCGGCCGCGGTAGCGCCACTGGTTGCTGCGGTAGGCGGAGGACTGGAAGCGGTGGCACCGCTGCGGTGCCAGGCCGCGGCGCTTGGCCAGCGGGAAATCCAGCGGGGGCTTGTTGGCCGCCGTGTACCACAGGAAGATGTTGTGGGTCTCCTCCAGGGTGAGGACGTCCGACTGCGCGGCGCCGTTGGCAAACTCCTCCAGCGTCATGGTGGGGATGCGCACGCGGTACAGGGCCGGCCCCAGCACGTGCCGCTTGTTCTGCGGGGTGGCGGGTAGGCCCTGCCGCTTGCACTCGGCCTCGGCCCAGCTCAGCACCGCCTCGAACACCACCGCCTCGTTGGTGTTGAGTGCCTCCCGGGCCACGATCACCTCCAGCGTCTGCCAGTCGATCTCGCAGAAGCCCTCGGACCGCAGCGCCATCTCGGCCTGTGCGTCGATCACCTCCCAGCAGCGCTGGGTCAGCTCCGGCTCCTCGAAGAGCCGGCTCTGGGACAGCAGCACGCAGGCGTTCCGGGCCTCCAGGCTGGTCTCCAGGAAGCTGACGCAGGCCTTGGCCAGCGCGGGGACGATGTACTTCTTGGCAGCATAGAGCGTGGCCAGCACCGTGTCTGCCTCTAGGTCGATCTCATCACTGTACAGGTACCTGGTGGGGCAGGGCGTGTCACAGGCCCCCCGCCTGAGCGCCGGGCCGGCGGGGCTCCCCCCGCTCCGGGCTGCTGCCCAGGGGCCCACTCACTTCAACAAGATGAGAAACGCGGCCGGCTCCACGTCGGGGATGTGGATCTCCGACTTGATCTCGGCCAGGTCCCCGTAGAACATGGCATAGAAGACGGAGCTCCCGACAGCCAGGACGTACTGCGGGCGGCGGGCGGGCGAAAGCGCCCTGAGCGCAGGGCCCACCCGTGCGCCGCGCCCCCCACCCCGGGAGAGGGCCGGCCGCACCGACCTTGTGAGCAGGCACTCGGCGGGCAGTGCCCGGGGGTCCCACGACGAAGTGGACGTCGGCCATGAGCTCGTTGTTGAACATCAGAGCATTCCTGCAAGGGCACGGGCCGGGCCTGGGGGACTGGGCGCGGGCGGGGGGGGGCGCGGGGGGGGGGGGGGAGGGAGGCGCGGGGCGGGGCGGGGCGGGGAGGGCGGGGCCGGCTCACCTCTCGCGCAGGGTGGGGTGGACCGACTGCCAGCTGGGGCTCTCGGGGTTGTTGTTGTCGGGCGCGGGCGGCGCGGGGGGCGGCGGCGGGGCGGGCGGCGGGGCGCTGGGCGGGCCCTTCCTGCCCGCGGCGGCGGCGGCGGCGGCGCCCGCGTTGCTGTTGGCGATGTCGGTGGCGGCGGCGGCGCCGGGCGCGGGGTACAGCTCCGCGGCCATCTTCGCGGGCAGGGCGGCCGCCGCGCGCGGGCAGGGCGGCGCTCCGTGCGCCCTGGCCCCGTGCGCCCTGGCGGTGCGCCGGGGCCGCGGCAGCGGCGGCGCCAGCACCAGGAGCGCGGCCAGGCACTGCGCCACCCGCCCGTGCAGGCAGGCCAGGGGCAGCAGCATGGGGCGCGGCGGCCGCTCGCCCGGCGCAGGGCTCGCCCAGCGGCCGCCGCCCGCCCCCGGTCACGGCGCGTCGCGGCGCGTCGCGGCGCGCCCGGAGGCCCCGCCCCGAGCGTGACCTGCCCGCCAGGCCCCGCCCCGGCCGTGACGTGCGGGCGAGGCCCCGCCCCGAGCGTGACGCAAGGCGAGGCCCCGCCCCGAGCGTGACGCGAGGCCCCGCCCAGGCCGTGACGTACGGGCGAGGCCCCGCCCCGAGCGTGACGCAAGGCGAGGCCCCGCCCCGGCCTGACGTGTCGCGAGGCCCCGCCCCGCCGCTCGCTTCAGGCGCCCGCCGGCCCGTTGGCACGGGCACCCTTGGTGTGAGTGCTGGCCTCTGTGCAGGGGGAGCCTGCAGGGGCCCGGGCGTTAGGGCCGGGGCCTGTGGTTCGGCCGGCGTTTCTGCCCTGCTCGATGCACCCTTGGGCCTCGGAGGGTCGGCGCGGCTGCTCTGCCCCCCCAGCGCCTTTAGCTTTTCCGCGCGTGCCTTATGCGCCGCGTGCGTTGGCCGGCGCGCTGGGTACTCTCCCCCGCAGGCAGCTCGCGGCGAGTCCCGTGTCTGGTTCGACCCTTGCTCCGTGGCCGAGGACGTGCCGCGTTCCCTGCGTCTGTGCCCTTCCAGTGCCTATTCTGTGTCCTGTGGCCACGTCCCATGTCTGTGGCCCACGCCCCGTGTCCTTTGTGTCCGTGTCCCATTTGTGCTGTGTTCTGGGTCCCGTACCTGTGGCTTGGTGGTTCATGCCTTTCCCACGTCTGTGTCTCCTTCACGTGTCCTGTATCCCATGTCCGTGTCCCTGTCCACATCTGTATCTCGGGTCTGTGTCAGGAGTGCTGTGTCTGTGTTCGTGTTTCTAGTCCCTGTCCGTGGCTTCTGTCTCGCGGCCCGTGCCCCGTGTCTGCGCTGTGTCCATGTCCCTTGCCTCTGCCCTGGACGTGTGTTCTCTGGCACTCCTGTGTCATGCGTGGCGCCTGCGGAAAGACACGCCTCTGGGCCACCGGCTTCAAAACAAGGGTGTCACGGGAGGGTCCTCGTGTCACTGCCCTTTTACCCTCACTTGGCGTGTTCGTTGCCGCTTTCGTTTTCTGGCCCACCGGCCTCTGGGTCCGCCTGGCCTGCAGTTCCTCCCCGAGACACTGCTTGGGCGCCCGCTTGCCACGCGCGCCTTCTCTCGTGCTGGGGGCCGTCACCCGCGGGTCCTCCTGTCCTTCCCGTCGGGGCTTGTCTGCCCGCTGGCCGCTGACCGACTGGGGCTCGTGGGGGGCGGAGCGTGTGGGCGGGCCGGACTCAGCGCCGCGCGTCCCCCGCAGACCCCTGCCTGTACATCCCGCGCTTCGCCCACCTGCTGGAGTTCGGCGAGAAGAACCACGAGGTGTCCATGACGGCGCTGCGGCTCCTGCAGCGGATGAAGCGGGACTGGATGCACACGGGCCGGCGGCCCTCGGGGCTCTGCGGGGCAGGTGGGCGCACGGCTCCTCCCTCCTGCCCCGTGCCTCCCTGCCCGTCCCCTCTGTGTCCTCCTTTCTCTGTCCCTCCCGCATTCCTTCTCCCTCCTCCTGGCCCCCCACCCCCCTCCGTCTCTCCGGCCCTGGGACTGTCCCGCACAGCCCCTCACCGGCCTTGACGCCGGAGGACGTGGCTCTGCAGAGGCCCCTGTCCCCGGGCCCACCCTGCCCGCCTGTTCCGCAGCGCTGCTGGTGGCTGCCAGGATGCACGACTTCCGGAGGACCGTGAAGGAGGTGATCAGCGTGGTCAAGGTGTGCGAGTCGACGCTGCGCAAGAGGTGGGCACAGAGGGGTCTGTGGAGCGCGGCCGCCCGCTGGGGGGCAATGGGCGGGTGTGCAGGGGGCAGCCGGGGCAGCTGTGGGCCTCACGCCCCCCGGCTCTGCGCAGGCTCACGGAATTCGAGGACACCCCTACCAGCCAGCTGACCGTGGACGAGTTCATGAAGGTGGACCTGGAGGAGGAGTGCGACCCCCCCTCGTACACGGCGGGGCAGCGCCGCCTGCGTATGAAGCAGGTACCCGCGGGTCTGCGGCCCCGGGGCGGGCGCGTTGGGGGGGCGGGGCAGACGCCTGACTCACTGTCCGTCCGTTCCCCCCGCAGCTGGAGCAGGTCCTGTCCAAGAAGCTGGAGGAGGTGGAAGGTGAGTGAGGAGCCCCCGGGTGCTGCACCCGGTGCGGCAGCGCGTGACCCGGCTCTGTGCGCAGGTGAGATCTCCAGCTACCAGGACGCCATCGAGCTCGAGCTGGAGAGCAGCCGGCCCCGGGCCAAGGGCGCCCTCGGCGGCCTGAGCAGAGACGGTGCGTCCCCCACGGCCCCCACGTCTCCCATCCCCAGGTCCCTGCGGGCGGGCTCGGGCGGGGTCTCTGAATGGTTGGGCTCACCCCACGGGGGCTCGGTCATGTCCCAGGGTCACGTCCCCTCTGCCGCACCTCAGCTCTCGGCCTCTGTTGACACACGGTGCTCTGCGCTGCCCCTGCGTGGGGCGGCCCTGGCGCTGCTGACGGCCGCCCCTCCTAGGCTGCCTCGAGGACTCCGCCTGCAGCTTGTTCGGGGAGGAGGACGCCGAGGATGAGGAGCTGGAGGTGGCCGCCACCCACCTGAACCAGGAGTTCTGCCGGGAGCTCTGCGGCCTGCCCGGCACCTCCGACGGGGACGGGTGCCCGGACGGGGACGGCAGGCTCCCCGCCCTCGAGTCCCTGCTGGGGCCCCTGCCCACGGCGGCCAGCCTGGGCATCTCGGACTCCATCCGCGAGTGCATCTCCTCCCAGAGCCGCGCCCCGAGTGCGTGCCCGCGGGGACCGTCGGCACTGGGAGGAGGGTGGTGCTGCCTGGGGCCCCGACGCCTCCTGCGTGCTGGGCCGGGAGGGTCAGGCCGGGCCGGGAGGGTCCTGCCCAGGCCACGCTGAGCCCCGCTCTCCACAGAGGACGTGTCTGGAGACGGCGAGCTGGACCTCAGTGGCATCGACGACCTGGAGATCGACAGGGTAGGCGCGTGGCTCCGCCCCGAGCCCCGTGGGTCCCCAGGGGGCCGTCTTGAGGGCAGGGAAGGGCAGTGGTGCTGACTCGCGCTGGGCGTCTCTGCTTTATCGCAGTACATCCTCAACGAGGCCGAGGCCCGCGTGAAGGCCGAGCTGTGGATGCGGGAGAACGCCGAGTACCTGCGCGAGCAGAGGGGTGAGCCGGCCCCGCCCCTCCGGGTTCCCGCCTGCTGCGCCATTCCTGCCTCGCTTTCCATCCCCAGCTCTGCCCTGCCGCCCTGTCCGCATTTTGCTTGTCCTTGTCCTGCCCTGGTCCCCACCCTCGCCCTGCCGCCCCCGACGTCCCCGATGTCATCTCGCTGTCCCCGCTCCCCGCTGTCCGCGTCCCGCTCTGTGCCCCGCCCGCCTCTGGCTCTGATGCAGGCTGTCGGTCTTGCAGAGAAGGAGGCCAGGATCGCCAGGGAGAAGGAGCTGGGCATCTACAAGGAGCACAAGGTGGGCCGGCCACGCCAGCCTCCCCCGCACCTGGGCCACCGCGGGGGCGCTGCTGAGCTCGGGCGGGAGCTGTCCCTGTCCCATGAGCCTCTTCCCCGGAGCCCCTCGGAGTGGCTGTGGGAACCGCCTGTCCCCGAGGGGGCAGGGCCGCCCTGCTCCAGGCCCCACCCACTGTGTGTGTCCCCCCCCAGCCCAAGAAGTCGTGCAAGCGCCGTGAGCCCATTCAAGCCAGCACGGCCGGCGAGGCCATCGAGAAGATGCTGGAGCAGAAGCGGATCTCCAGCAAGATCAACTACAGCGTGCTGCGCGGCCTGGACACCAAGGGGGCGCCGGCGGCGGGGGACGCGGCGGCTGAGCAGCGGCCCAGCACCAGGAGGCCACCCCGCAAACCCCCGGCCAGCAGGAGCCGGGCCCGGCCCGAAGCCGCCGGGCCGGGCGTGGGGAAGAGGTTTGTGTCGGGCGGCTCCCGTGGGCCGGGCTAGGGAGGGACCCCCGGGGAGGAGCAGGGCCCGTGCCCGCTGTGAGGCCCGAGGGCTCTGCTGGTGTGGCTGGGCCCAGGGCACCCCTGGGACCTGCTGGAGGCCGGGGCGCCCCACGCCAGGAGGATCCCGAGGCAGTCAGCATTCCTGCCAGGGCGGGGGCAGTGTCCAGAGCCCGTGCTACGCCCCTCATGCCGCCCCTCAGGCCCCCTCCTGGCTGTGGGTACCCCGGGTCTCCCAGCATCCTGGAACCTCGAGCTAGGCTATGCCCTGGGACAGTGCGGGGACACCCTGGCGCCTCACGCAGACTGAGGGTGTGCGGGGCGTGTCTCTGAGCCCCGTCCTGCTCTCTTCCAGGCTGCGGCCCCTGGTGTCCACTCAGCCAGCCAAGAAGGCTCTGGGAGAGGTGCGTTGTGAGCCGTGGCAGCTGGCACCATGCCCGCAGTCAGGCGTGTGCGGGCAGCTGGCCTGCGGCCCTCAGGGTGGGAGACCTTGGCCTCGCAGGCAGTAGAGGGCCACCGCCCTGGGGACGGCAGGTGCCACTGCGCCCCTCAAGGCCGTGCCCCTCTCCGGCAGGCCCTGCGCCCCCCAAGCTCCCCGGCCTTCGGAGCCGAGCCGGCCCCGCCCGCAGTGGCCGTGGTGGTGGAGAGCGGGCCTGTGTCTTACCACCCTGCCGAGGACGCGGAGGAGGAGGAGCCCGAGGAGGAGGATGGGGAGCACTGTGTGAGCGCCCTGCAGATGCTGGGCGGCAACGGTGAGGCCGCAGGCGCCGGACCTCGAGCCCCAGGGTCCCCAGAGACCAGGCGTCGCCCTGCTCCCAGGCTCCCCAGTTCCAGAGGTTCCTCCTCTGGCTCCCCTGGTTCCCGAGTTCCTGAGGCTCCCCAGTTCCCGTTTTCCCGAATTTCCCCAGTTTCCGAGTTCCCCAGGCTCCCCTGGTTCCCCCAATTCCCGAGTTCCCCCATTTCCTGAGGTTCCCAGTTCCCCGGTTCCTGTGACTCCCGAGGTTCCCATGCTGGGCTGGTGGCCTTACAGGTTCTGATGCTCTGCAGATTACGGCTGTGACGGTGACGAGGACGACGGCTACTGACCTTTGCCACACGTCCCATCCTGGTGGTGCCTGCACCGAGACTCTGGGAGACCAGGGGCCGCTACCTTGCACCCTGTCTCGGCCTCCGTGGCTGTGCCCTGGGGACCATATTCCGAGCAGTGCGAGGGCAGTCTCCGTCCAGCAGAGGGCACTGGACTTGGCTCTGGCCTGGTCCCTCCTGGGGTGCCGTGGGCAGCAGGCAGGTGGGTCTGAGTCCGGGACCAGCCCGTACCGTCTGGGGCCCCGGCCCCCTCTCGCTGGCCCAGGGGTGCTGGGCTGCAGCCCCCGGCCAGCGACATGCGGCAGTCCTGCCGAGCCCGTGCAGAGCCCACGTGCGGTGGTCGCTCCTGGGGCCAGACTTGGCTCTCCGAGAGGAGCCCAAGGGCCCCCAAACCTGCTGCCCAGCCGCGGTGACCTCACGAGCGGGCGTTGTCGCCCCTCCCTGCCCAGTGCTCCGGGCCTGAGGTCTTGGAGTGGGCACCAGCTCTGCCCCGTGAGGCCCAGGAGAGGACGGGGTGGCTGGCCTCCGCAGGGCCCCTGGCCTGGCCGGGGCTTCTGGAAGCTGCGGAGGGGCCGGTGGTGGAACAAAGACCAGTTACTTGAGCGGAGCCCTGAGCTGTGGCGTGATTCCTGCAGGGCGGGGGCCTGTGTGCTGAGGAGGGGCAGGTGTCTGCTGGGCACTCCTGGTGGGTTCAGTGGGATGTGGGGGAGCGTGGAGGCAGGGTCTGTCGTGTGTGGAGGGGAGGAGCCCCCAGGAGCCCGGCCAGACAGCGGGGGTCAGCCAGCTGTGCCCGGGAGCCGGGGCAGAGGGCGAGGAAAGCCCAGCTCAGGAGAGCAGCGTGTGTGGGCAGGGCAGGGCGGGGCTCCCGAGAGACCAAGGGGAGGACGTGCAGCCTGGGGGCATGAAGTCTGTGCCCTGCGCTTGCCTTGCTGCATCTGCACCCCCGGGCCAGCGGCACAGTGACACTTCAGGCTGGTGACCGCCTGTCCAGGGTGTCTGCACAGTGTGGGGGGGTTGCCAGCCTTAGTGAGGCGGGAGCGCAGTGGCAGAGTTCCCGTCCACCTGCATCCTGGGCTCGAGCACAGGCCACGCCCCCTTCTCCTTGGGGCACCTGGCCCCCCCAAACCCCCAAGTGTCCCTGGAGTTTGGCTCCCTCTGGCTGTGGGTGCCCGCAAGTGAGGCTGCTCCCAGGACAGGGTGCCCCGTGACCCCAAGGGCTGGGGGGTGGGCCCAGGAGCCCCAGGGTTTTCAGCAGTGCCCGTGTCACCCACGCCCTTCCGGCCACCTGTGCCTGGACACTGCGGTCCCCTCTCCGTGACGCTGCAGGAGGACCAGGGGAAACTGCCTGGCACCAGAGCTAGGACTGTGCCCGCTGCCATGTCAGTCGGCAGCAGGGGGCGCCCTAGGACCAGCTGGGGGGGGTCCCTCTGCTTACACCTCCTCCCTGAGGACCACAGGGCAGGCAGGGGCGAGGCTCCGTGGCCCTGGGCTGGGTAGCCTAGCACGAGGCTCCCAGTGGGCAGCTGCGGCCCAGCTGGCTGGTGCCTACGTGTGCAGAGAGCCAGTGGCCCCAGCCAGACTGGCAAGGGGCAGAACTGCCCAAAACGCCTTCAAAGAGCCGTGGGTGCGGCGAAGTGGACGCTCGTTAGGGCCTTCCTGCCGGGAGGACCCACTCAGGAAACCATTGTCCCCACACAATGGGCCCCACACGGCAGGACCCGGCCCCCCCAACCCCGGCTCTGACCTCAACCCCGCTGGGACTTGCTGCTCCCCCAGACTCCAGCCTGGGAGCCGGGCCGAGACCCTGAGGACCGTCAGAGAGAGGCAGGCAGGCTGCATGGGGCGCGGGTGGCGAGGGCCAGCTGCCTGCCCTGGGGGCCCGGGGAAGTGGCCCAGCGATCCTCAGTGACACAGGAGCCAAGTGGGCGGCTGCGGGACCTCGGGGAGGACATGGCGAGCAAACGGTCCAGGCGGGGAGAGTGGGCACCAGATGGCAGCCGCACGGGTCTAGACTCACTTCACACAGGCACTCGCGCACGGGAATGCACATGTGCACCCGGGCCTCGCACACGGGTTATACATGTGCACGCAGGTGCACAAGGCTATACGCGTGCCCCCAGGTACTCATGGGTCATACACACGTGCACGCAGGAGCTCTTACACGGGCTATACACGCGTGCACTTGGGTGCATAAGGCTATACATGTGCCTCCAGGAGCACAAACACGTGCATCTGGCACATTAAGTCTATACACACCCCAGGTATTCACGAGTTAAGACACGTGCCTTCGGGCACATAAGGCTATACACGTGCCCGCCAGGAGCTCACACACGGGTCATACACGTGTGCTCTCAGGCGCATAAGCCTATACAAATGACCTCCAGCTAGTCACAGGTTGTACACACGTGCACTCGGGCACATAAGGCCATACACAGGCCCCCAGGTGCTCGCAGGTTATGCACACATACACTCATGCACGTAAAGTTATGTGCTCATGCCCCCAGGTGCTTGCACATGGGCTGTACACACATGAACCTGGGTGCTCCCGGGTCTTCACATGCGCACTTGAGCACACACATAGCGCACGCGTACTCAGCACCCACGCAGATGCGTAGAAGGAAGGTGGGTGCAGTGAACTCTCCTGGCTGCCTCTGCCCCTCAGGGCCCAGTCATGCCACGTGGGCACAGGGTGGGTCTGAGCCAGCAACTGCCAGGAGACGGCCAGAGGACACGTGACTTGTGTGTCCCCCACACCCCACTGTGGCACTAGCTAATGTGGGGTGGCCCTACCTGGCTCCAGACAGGCCACTGCTGAGTCACACGTGGCCCGGGCACACGTGCCCGGGTCATGCCACTGGGAGCCTTGACATCAGGTGGGGTCACCGGTGCAGCCCGAGGGACGGCCACAGGCTGCGCTGAGTGGGCAGCAGACAGGTGCCACAGTGACCCAAGAAGGCGTCCGGAGGGGGTCGTGTGGGGCACACGGCAAAGCAGCCGTCAGTGGCCTGCGCAAGGGTCCCTGAAAAGAGACGCTGGCTGCCATCAGGAGGGCGCGAGAGGGGGCCTTGGTGGGGGCTGGGGCCTCAGGGCCAGGGCCCGGGTGGCTGCGGCCGAGTCTGAGTCACGGCAGTGGGGCCGCCGGCGCCAGGGGGCCCAGGCTGCGGGGCCGCAGGAAATGTCTCGGCTGATAAAGGCCCCAAGGCAGAGGCCGCCGCCTCCCACTTCCTGCAGTGGCCGTGCAGGGAGGGGCCCGGTGGCATCTGCTGATGCCCACGGACAAGCCCATGGGACCGTGGCTGCGCCTGCAGAGGGTGAAGGAAATCTGGGTGACCGCAGACAGGAAGGACCAGACACCGCCGGAGGCTGCAGAGCCTGAGGGCCAGGCTGTGTCCTCGGACAGCAAGTCCATGTCCACTGTGGGCCAGGTCGTGTCCCCCGAGGGTCAGGCCATGTTCCCTTAGGACCAGGCCGTGTCCCCTCCCATAGGCAGAGGGTCAGTCTCACAGGAGCCCAGGACTTAGGATCCCCTCTCCCCAGAACCCCGTCAGAGTCGCCACCTCCAAAAAGCCCCTCCCCGGTGGAGCCCTCTCCTCACAGCTCCGGGGGGCCTGGGCAGATCCGAGACTCCAGCCCATCACACGGGCCCAGGAGCTGCAGCCGGGACAGCCGCGCTGCCAGGATGCCCAAGGGGCCTGCCCGGGCCGGGGGAGCCTTATCGGCGCGGGCAGCTGGTGGGCTGTCCCGGCACGAGCGCCCCAGCCCAATTCAATGGCCATTGTCCGCCAGCCCCTTTGTTCGGGAGGCGGCCACTTCCTGTGGGGCTGAGCTGGGCGGCGGGCAGGAAAGACTCCGCGGAGGCCGCCCAGCCTGGGTCATAGGCGACGCCACCTGCCTGGGTCAGCCTCTGCCACTGAGAGACCAGGCAGGCCCAGGGCACGTCCAGGGGGGCTGCCCACCCCTCTCCTCAGGCCTGACTTCTGAGAGGCGGGGCCTCAGGAGCAGAGAGCGGCACTTGTGCTGGGGTCAGGCTGTACGGGGGAGAGGCGTGGGGTGGGTGGTGGCCCAGAGATGAGCACCAGGGGTGTCCTTGGGCAGGAGCACACTTGCCCAGGACCCTCAGGGCACCCAGGCCAGTGGTGAGGTGCGGCGACCCCTGGGTTGGAGCCATAGCACACTGGGGAGGGCGTTTGCCTTTCACGCGGCCGACGCAGGTTCAATCCCCGGCATCCTGTGTGGTCCCCGTGCAGTCAGGAGTCAGCCCTGAGCGTGGCACGGTGTGTCCCCCCAAAAAAGGAATGTCACCCACCCCTGCCCCGTCAGCAAAGGGGGTCCAGGGCTCTGCTCCCCACCCCAGAGCCCCGTGTGTGGTAGCAGGGTCGAGTTGCCCCCCCCCAGCCCAGAAATCCCCCAATGCTCCACCCTCACCACTGCCGCCCCTCCTGCCCCCTCACCAGTCTGTACCAGGTCAGAGCATCTCGTCCCTGACCCCCCCCACCCCCGCGACCGGCCTCAACCCTGACCCCCAGCGGCTGATCTCAGCCCTGACCCGGAAGCTGCCCACCCTTGGCCTGGTCTGGGGTATAGCAGCTGCTGGGCCTGGACGGGAGGATGAGGGCAAAGGGGAGGAGAGAGGAGAGCAGTGCTGGCAGGATGAGGAGGAGGGTGCAGGGAAGAGAGTGAGGAGAGCAGAGAGGATGCATGGAAGGAGGGCGGGGAGACGGGAGACGGGAGGAGGGTCTGGGAGTCGGCAAAGGCTGCACTGCGGCTCCACGGAGCACCAAGTGGCTCCTAAGAGCTATTTTCTGTCTTGAGGGAGGGTCAGGCGCGCGGCCACTGTCCCAGGAGCGCCCGGGGCTCAGCACTGGGCGCCAACCCAGGGGTCTGGAGGCTGCAGGCTCAGGGGGTCACACAGCGGACTGGGTGGGGCGCAGGTGTCACCTGTGGGGGGAATACTGTGTTCAGGGCTACGGGGGGGCGGGGCAGGAAGGAGCCCCCTCTCACCAGGGGCCATCGCTGGGTCTGTCCTCAGGCTGGGCTCTACCAGGGGTGCAGCCCACTGTCTGTCCATCTGTCTGTCCGTCTGTCGTCTGCCCATCTGGCTCACCATCTGTCTGTCCGTCCACTGGGAGAGGCTGGGGAGTGCCGTGCCAGCTGCTGGGATGGCAGGAGGGTCCAGATGGCTCAGAGGAGGCTGGCTCCTGGGGCGTGCACACAGCCCTGGGCAGCGCCCTCAGCCGCACCTGGCCACCAGCTTCCCCCACCTGCCCCGCTGCTGCCCCTGCCCGCTAGGACAGGCTGTCCAGGGGGCGGGGAGGGGCACGGTTTGTGTTCACCCCCACAACCACGGGCCCCTTATCTTGGTGCTTATCCGGGGCCTGCTGATACCTGAGCCTCAGGCCGCCCCACCAACGTTTGTGACAGCCGGAAGTCCCCCAAATACATGATGTTGAGGGCTCATCGGGCCGGTCGAGAATCCTGGGGGCCCCATCTCCACCTGTGGCGGGAAGAGCCCAGAGGGCGCAGGGCAGGGGGTCCTGAGGGGACTGCTCGGGCACACCGGGGGCTGGGCTGCAGCAGATGAGGGTCCTTGGGCTCAGAGGGTCCGGGAGGCTCGGGCCAGGGCAGACGAGGTCCGGGCAGCTGCACCTGTGCTGAAGCTCGGCCGGGGGGCCTCTGCCGGCACGCCGGGCAGTTCCGGGAAGCGGCGGTCACTCCCCAGGACGTCATCAGGAGGGGGCGTCGCCACGGTGGGCTCCAGGGGTGCGGGACGCCGGAGGCGAGAAACCCGCAGAGGCCCCGCGGCCCGTCCCCGGGGCGATCCCTCCCACGTGACCCCGCGTCGCCGCCCGGGCCAGCCGCGCCGGAGCGCCCCGCCCCCCGCGAGGGAGGGGCGGAGCCGCACCGCCCCCCGCGCACTGGGCATGCCCGGAACCGCCGTGCCCGCGGCCGCCGGCCTGCGCGGACTCTGCCCGCCATGGAGCGCATTGAGGGGGCGGCCGTGGGCCCCTGCACTGCCTCGCCCTACCTGCGGCCTCTCACGCTGCACTACCGCCAGGTGAGCCCGCGCCCCCGCCCCAGGCCCCGCTTCTCCGGGACAAGCGTCCCCACCTGTGCCCCCGGGGCCACGCCCCTCAGCAGCGCCCCTCCCGGCCACGCCCATCGGAGCCCCGCCCCTCCGGCGGGCACGCCCACAGGGAAGCGCCGCCGGTGTGGCCACGCCCACCAAGGAAGCCCCGCCCAGTTAGGCCGCGCCCACCTCGAAAGCGCCGTCCCGCCCGGCCACGCCCATGCCGGCGAGGCCCCGCCTCCGCCCCAGCCCTGGTCCGGGTCTGTGCCTGCTGCAGCCACTGGCTGTGGAGGGAGACGCCACCTTCCCCGCTGGCCCTTTGTGTCCCCGGAGTGAGGACAGCGTGCTGGAGGTGGTGGCCCTGGGTCTGGAAAGGGAAGAAGGGGAATGAGCCGACGGCTGCAGGACACTGGGCTTAGCCCGGGCGGGACCTCCGAGGTTGGCTGGGCCTCCTGCTGCAGGGGTCTCTGCGCTTCGGGCCAGCGCAGTGCCTTGCTGTCCCCGCCGTCCGTGCTGTCTGTCCTTCTGGGCCGCTGCACCCCTCACTTGCAGGGTGTCACCTGACCCTGATGACAGGGTAGAAATGGGGAGAAATGCAGAAAGAGAGTGGGCACAGGGTTGCCCCCTCCCTCCTGGTGCTGGTGGGGGCTGGGCCCTGGGGCATGGGGTCTGAGTCACAGCACCCCGTGCCCCTCCTGTGTGAGTGTGGCGGGTACCGGCCCATGGCGGTCTGTTCCCCAGATCCTACCCCTGGTGAGCAGCTGCCACAGGGAGGCCAGCGTCCAGAGGCTGAGGGGACCGTGTCCCCGAACATGAGGAAGGAGGCATCGGCCTGGGCCTGACATCCTACAAGAGGGCCATGCCTTGAGGGCACCCCTGCTGCAGGAGGCCGGGCAGGCTTTCCCGGGTGTGTGGGTGCCCCAGGGCCAAGTCTCCAGCAGGCCTGGGCGTGCTCTCGAGGCCGCGCCTGGCAACGGCCCTGGAGGCCTGTGTGCACCCCAGACACGGCCACTAGCCCTTGGAAATCCAGGCCCGCGCTCGCAGCCTTCCTTCCCTGCGCCAGCCACGGGCCGGGCCTGTGGACACCACTGGGAAATGCCCCTTCAGTGGCCGCTGACGACCTCACCTCGCCCAGGCCTCTCTGTCCACGCAGCCTGTGCGACTGGCCTGGTGCTTGGCTCCGTTTGCAGCTCATCAGGGACCCAGGTGGGGCACTGGACTGACACAGCATTATTCTCAGAGGCCCCTGGGTGGGTGCAGGGCTAGTGTCACCCAGGGTGACCTGCTCTGCCCCCTGCCTCCCCTGAGCCCTGCCTCGGGCACAGGGAGGATGTCCTGCCCACATGGCTCTGGGGTCAGCCCAGTTCCTTCCGCCAGCGCTGGAGGGAGCCACTGGTGAGGCTCGGGGCCCTCCTGGGACAGTGCATCTCCCTGTCCCCCACCCGCAGCTGCACCCCTGGGTTGCTGTGTGGCGGGTCTGGCCCCCTGCCCCCTCGGGCACCTTCTTTACTGGAGGGAGACTCCCCAGGCCCTGACCGTTGGCCCTGACCCCCCCTGCCCCTTTCAGAACGGCATCCAGAAGTCCTGGGATTTCATGAAGACTCATGACAGGTGAGTGTGGCGGGCGCCGGCCTGTGGTGGTCTGTGGGCTTGCCTGGCCACAGGGGCCCCCCACCCAAGTCTCTGGCTCCTTCCTCCCAACCCCGTGTCTGGGCTGAGTGGGTGCCCGTGCCCTGGAGACTGGCTGGACCAGGATGTGGCTCCAGGCTGGGCTGGAGGTGGCCCTCTAGGGGCCACATGCCCGACCTTTGTCTCTGCAGGACGGGGCCCACCCGGCCTTGGCGACCCAGTCTGAGCCAGGGCCTGACTGCCCAGCGCCCCCGGTCAGTCCCCGGGGCCACAGTTGGTGCCTCAGCCGAGTCTTTTGCAGTGTGGCCGTGCTCCTGTTCAACGCCACGCAGCGGAGCCTGGTGCTGGTCCGGCAGTTCCGGCCAGGTGAGAGACGGGGGTCCCGCTGGGGTGACTTGGCCCGGCAGGAGGCGGCTCTGACGGAGGCTGTCCCCCCTGCAGCCGTGTACGCAGGCGAGGTGGAGAGACACTTCCCAGGCTCCTTGGTGCCCGGGGACCAAGACAAGCCCCGGACGCTGCCGACAGCGCTGCCCGGCACGGCAGGTGTCACCTACGAGCTGTGTGCGGGCCTCGTGGACCAGCCAGGGCTGTCCCTAGAAGAGGTGGCCTGCAAGGAAGCCTGGGAGGAGTGCGGCTATCGGCTGGCCCCCTCCGACCTGCGCCGCGTCACCACCTACAAGTAAGTGGGGGCCAGAGCCAGCGAGGTTGGGCGCAGTGAGCCCTGGGCTGGCATCTGTGCCCCAGCAGCCCAGGTGGGGTAGGGCATTCCCACAGAAGCCCCCGGCCTGCTGCTGGGCGTGTGACCAGCCAGAGGCACCTCCAGTGGAGCCCAGCCTGCCTCCAGTGCTGCTGTGGGGCGGGATAGGTCCCCTGCTATGTCCCCCACACATAGAGACCATCCGCCCATGCCCTCCGTTGGCAGTCTGCCCTAGGACAAGGAGTCGCGCCTGATTCCTCTGCCAGTGCCTGGAACTCAGGACCCATATGCAGGTTCCCCAGGGTGCTGAGGGTGGGTGATGGGCAAGGATGAATAGAGTGGGGGTGCCCAGGAAGGATCAGGCCACGCTTGGAGAGGCGAGCATGGGGTCCTGGCAGAGAGCTGTGTTCCAAGGCTTGGGCTCTGGGCACTGGGCAGCCAGCGGCTGGCCTGGGCTTGCGTTTGGAGCGTGGGGTGAGGCTATGGGGCCCGGGTGAGGGAGCCCATAGGGACATGTGCGACTCTCCCGCTGGCCCTGGGTGGGCCGTGACTTCCTGTCCAGGGCCATGCGCCTGCCGCTCCCGAGGGTACCCTGTTAAGGACATGATTTAGGGGAGGCCTTGAAGGCCGGGCGCCTTTCTCGATGCCATCAGTGGGCAGGGATGGAACGCCTCCAGCCACTGCTTTTGTCCAATCAGGACACAGGATGCGTGAATGGGGGACTCTGCCCAATGAGACCACAGGTTGCGTTCAGGGGCGGGGCCACTGTCCTATCAGGACGTAGGCTGCGTTCAGGGGCGGGGCCGCTGTCCAATCCGGACGCAGGCTGCTTTCAGAGGCGGGGCCGCTGCCCTATCAGGACACAGGCTGCGTTCAGGGGCGGGACCGCTATCCAATCCGGACTCAGGCTGCGTTCAGGGGCGGGGCCTCTGGCCTATCAGGACGCAGGCTGCAGGGGGAGGCTGCAGGGGGAGAGCTCCCTGCTGGGTTTCTCGCCCTGTGACGGGGGCAGCTTCTGACCTACGGGCCTAGGTCCCAGGTCTCTGCCCCTGCTGCTTTCCCTGCCCAGAGTGCACTGCGCCCCGCCCCCCTCTCGCCCTGATCATACAGAGAGCCCCCCCCCATCCCAGCACGGTGGGACCTTGGGGCGGAGGCTCTGCAGCTGCGCTTGCAGCCTTGCGGGGCTATGGCTGTGCTTTGGGTCCAGTCCGGGTTTCCGCACCTCTGCGCACTTCTCAGGACAGCTCCCTGACCATCAGAGGACGAGCCCAGCGGCGTCCAGGGAGGAGGGGGGAGGGGTCCAGCCTGTCTCTCTCCTGCAGGGCCGGCGTGGGTCTGACCTGCTCCAACCAAGCCATGTTCTATGCCGAAGTGACGGATGCTCAGAGGACCGGCCTGGGCGGGGGCCTGGCGGAGGAGGGAGAGCTGATCGAGGTGTTCCACCTGCCTCTTGATGGCGCCCAGGCCTTCGCGGATGACCCTGCTGTCCCCAAGACCCTTGGTGTCATCTTCGGGATCTCGTGGTTCCTCAGCCACGTGGCCCCGGACTTGCGTCCCCAGAGAGAGTAGATTCTGGGGGCAGGGGACGGCCTGGCTGTCTGCCCACGGGACCAATAAACCAAGTGCAGCTCTGGCCTGTGTCCACTGGCTCTGAAGGTCTCGGGCATAGGTGGAGTGGCAGGAACGACACGGGAAGGTTGAGAAGGGGACGGGGTTGGCAGGGGGCGCGGGAAGGCTGTGATGGCTTGGGAGGGTGGGGCCGCACTGGGCCTTGTGCATAGGACGGGAGGAGCAGAGGCAGCAAATGAGGGTCCTGCTGGCGGACCGGCTGCCTGTGGGGACGGAGCTGGAGCCCAGTGGGTGCGTAGGGCACCTGGGGGTGCCTCTCCAGAGTTGAGGCCCTCCGGATGCCCTGGCAGGACTGCCCCCAGCTCCCCAGCCAGGAGTCTGCCGGCCCCTCGGGCCTCCCCAGCTGACCCTGAGCTGACCCCAGGCGCGGCTTCCCAGGGCGCTGGGCTCCTCCCTTCCACGGCCTTTGCCACTGCCCTGGGCCGCTGCAGCACCTGTATGCAAATGCCGGGTGGGGCCGCCCAGGTGGCGCCCGGGACCTGCTGCGGGGCGCACGGGTCTGGAGCAGCCCCGCCCGGGCACTGCCAGCCTGGAACTGTCGGGCCACTTTCCTGCATGCAGCCCTTCAGGGGCCCGGCCCGCGCTCCCAGGGGCTGCCCATGGTGGCCATCAGGTAGGGCTGGCAGCTCTCCGGGGTGGGGTGTGGACAGGTCCCCGCGGCCCCTCCCCACCCCGTCTGCTCGTGCCGGTCAGCAGCAGGCACCGCTGCTGGCCTAATGGAGCTGGCATCGATTTCCCGGCACTGGGGGTGTAACCGGAAACTCCCCTCCCAGGCTGCTATATTTAGCCCCGCAGATCACCCCAGCGGAAGCTCAGCGCCGCTGGCCATCCACAGCCCGCACCCGTCTGGCCCCCACCTGGCCGCCCGGCCTGACCCGCACGTTGAGGACCCCCCAGAGCACAGTGCAGAGAGGACAGCAGTGGGGCGTGGGCCCTCGGTGGGGCGCCCCTGGCTGCCCCTCCCCGGCCTTCAGGTCCGTGTCCTGGTTCCCAGCGGAGCAGGGGTCAGGGCCTGCCTGCGGCCCCCCAGCTCTGCTGCCATGTCGCCCTGCAGGGCCTGGAGGAGGTGTGGGGGGCTGTTTGCCGGGCCATTGCCCCCCCCTTTGCTGGGGACACCGTTTCCTCCAGGAGGCCGAGGTGGGAGGTGGCACCCCAAGGCACTGGAATTCCCCGCCTCAGCCCCCGCGTCTGCCCGCCCGCCCGGGCGCTCCCTGCCGTCCCTGGGTCCCGCCGGGAGGCTTGCTGTCCACTGACCCCTTCCCTCCCCTGGCAGTATCCTGCTCTGGGCTCACGTACACTAACCTGGCTGGCCGAGGGACCCCTATTCCGGTCCTCCCTGCCACAGGAGGCCCCCCTCCCAGGCAGCCAAGGGCTGAGCTGGGTGCAGGTGGGTGCTGGGGGCCTCTGCGTTATGGGGACGGTGGGCAGTCTGTCTGGCCAGGCCTCCTTGGCCGTCCGCAGTTGCCCACAGCGGAGGGGCCCCACCACTGGGTGGGGGTCCGGTGTGGGTGGTGCCATTCCAAGCCCTGCAGAGCGCAGGGCAGCTGTCCTTCCTCCAGGGAAGCTGCTCCCCTCCGTCGGGGTGGGGCCAGGGGAGAGGAGCCCCCTGGGCTGGGGGTCGGGTCCTGCAGGCCGCCCGCGGGAGCTACGGGCCCAGGGCAGCGCCATCGCCCGGGTGGGGTGTGGGCCGGACACGCGGCCCCGGCGCCTGGGCCAGGAGTGGGGGCGCGGCGCCTCCCCGGGGCCACCCCGCGCAGGGGCGCGCGGAGCCCAGGGCGCCGCCGGGCCCGGGGCCGGGGCCGGGCGCGCCGGGCAGGGGCAGGCGGCGCCCGCGGCCGCCTTTAAAGCCCCGGCGCCCCCGGCCCCCGCCCCTCCCCGCGGCGCGGCGCCGCCCCCTCATGCATATGCAGGTGCGCGGGTGACGAATGGGCGAGCGAGCTGTCAGTCTCGTCCCGAACTTGCGGGCTGCGGGCGCCGGGAGCGCGGGCGCGCAGAGCCGAGGCCGGAGCCGCCGCCGCCTGCGCCGCCGCCGCCTGCGCCGCCGCCGCCGCCGGGGGGGAGCCGGGCCGGGCCCCGGAGCGCGGCCGCCGCTCGAGCCCGCCCGCGCGGGCGCCGCGGGAGCCGCCGCCGCTGCGGGCGTCGGAGGCGGGCGGCGGCCCCGGGAGGCCGGGCCGGGCCGGGCCGGGCGCGCGGCGGCGGCGGCGGCGGCGGCGGCGGCGGCGGCGGGCGCGCGGGGCGATGCGGGCGCGGGGCCGGGGGCGCCTGCCCCGGCGGCTGCTGCTGCTGCTGGCGCTCTGCGTGCAGGTGAGGGGCGGCCCGGGCGCGGGGCGCGCGGGCGCGGGCGCCGACCCCGGCCCACCTCGGCGCTCCCGGCCTTATTTTTAGGCGGCGCGGCCCCTGGGCTATTTCGAGCTGCAGCTGAGCGCGCTGCGGAACGCCAACGGGGAGCTGCTGAGCGGCGCCTGCTGCGACGGCGACGGCCGCACGACGCGCGCGGGGGGCTGCGGCCGCGACGAGTGCGACACGTACGTGCGCGTGTGCCTGAAGGAGTACCAGACCAAGGTGACGCCCACGGGGCCCTGCAGCTACGGCCACGGCGCCACGCCCGTGCTGGGCGGCAACACCATCTACCTGCGGCCGGACGGCGCGGCGGGCGAGCGGGCGCGCGCGCGGGCCCGGCCGGGCGGCGCCCCGGACCCGGGCCTCGTCGTCATCCCCTTCCAGTTCGCCTGGCCGGTACGTGCCCCTCCCCCGCGCCGCGCACCTGCGGCCCCGCGCGCGCCCGAGGGGCGGGGCCGCGCGGGGCGCGTGCTCCGTGGGGCCCCGCGCGGGGTCGCGGCGGGGGCGGGCGGCCGCGGCGTGTGCCTGCGTCGCCTCGCGCGTGGCTGTCTGGGCGCGGGGGCGCGGCGCGGCGCGGCGCCCGGGGCGCGCCGGCCGCCGAGGCATGTGCGCCGCGCGTGCTGGGGCCGGTCCGGGGCAGGCCCCGGCGGAGCCGCCGGGCCCGCGGCCAGCCCGTGCCCGCCCCGCCGCTTCCTGGACGCCCGGGGCTGCCCGTGCGGGCGCTGGCGGGGCGGGGCGGGGGCGGCGGCGGCGGCGGCGGCGGCTCGGGGGTCTGCCCCGCTCCGGGCAGTGCCCTCGCGCGCGCGAGGAAGGCCGAGGCCGTCCTGTGCCCGGCCGGGGGGGCTGGACGGTCCTGGCTGGCGTGGAGCTGCTCGCACCTCGCGAGGGCACCTCGGGGTGCGGGGAGGGCCCGAGTCCACCTGGCGAGGGAGGCTGGGGGTCAGCCCGGTGCGTGTCCCCGGCACCCCGGCCGGGCTGGCTTCTGGGCCGGCCCCCGACCCCCGACCCCTGGCCCCGGGCGGGAAGGTGTCCCCGCTGGGCGTCGCCCCGGTGCCCGGTGCGTGTCCCCGGCCGGACTGGCTCCTGGGCCGGCCCCCGACCCCTGGCCTGGGGCCTCGGGTGGGAAGGTGGCCCCGCGCGCGCCGTGGGGCCGGGGCAGGCCCGGGAGGGGCCCGTGCAGGGTTCCCATCAGCCCTGCTGCTCGCCCCCACGGCGCAGACAGGTCTGAGCAGGGCCCGCAGCCTGTCATCTGCGCCTGGGCCCCAGCCAGCGGCTCCAAATCGCTACCTGAGGATGTGTTTTCTGCTGGAGTGAGTTGGCAGCCGGCGCTGTGGGGGCAGGGAGGCCGCCGAGGAATGTGGCGGGCCGGGCTGGCCCCCACGCTGTCCCTCTCACCCCTTCCCTGCGCTCGGGTGCCCTCAGTGGGTCCTGGAGGAGGACGTGCGCATCTGGGGGCGGCTCGCGGGCCTCCCTGCCCCACGGGCACGAAGTGGCAATACTGCCCCCGGCGTTTCCGCCTGCCCACGGCCTCTGCCTTGCACGTTGCGGGGCTGCTACATCGGGGCTGAGTGCACTGGGAACCCCCGTGTGCGTCCCCGACGCCCGGATGGGGAGTGGGCCAGCCGGCGACCGGAGGGGCCCCTGGGGGGAGGTGTGGTCCCCAATCCCGAGCTTGAGCCCCTCTTGAGTGCCCCAGCCCTATCCCTCCTGCCCCACCGCGCTGGAGATTCTTCTGCCCCTGCCGCTTGAAGTGCGGGATGGTCCCAGCCCGAAGGGTCAGCTGTGGGGAGGTTGACGGCCCGGGGGGTGGGGGGGGGCAGCTGGCCCTGCTGTCCATGTGGTGGGCTGATGCGTGCGCATGGGCGCGGATACGGGTGTGCGGCGTGACGCTGTGCCCACACGCCGGGGTGCGTGTGCCCGGTACCGCTCGCTCTGGGTTGCAGACGACTGATGCAGGGTCTGGGGGGCCTGGGGGGTTTGGTGGGCTCCACCCCTGTGAGGGGCCAGCCTAGCTCAGCTCGCATGCAGAGTCGCTCTTTTCCCAGGCCCCCTTTGCCTCACGTCCTGCGACCTAGTTCCACGTGTGGCCCCTGTTGGAAGAGGGGGGTTGTCTCAGGACCTAGGGAGCCCCATGGGACAGGGCAAGGCTGCTGCGGGGCCGGGCGGGAGGGACGGGGCTCCCAGGACAGGGGGCTGCTGGGGGCGGGGCCGGCGGAATGGGCGTGGCTTTGAGTGGGTGGGCGGGGCCTCCGGGGCTGGTGGGTGGGCGGGGCTGCTGGGGCATCCCCGAAGGGTTGGTGCCCCCAGAGCGATTCCACTGATCCCCACGCCCCAGCAGCTGGAAGTGCCTGGCCAGTCTCGGGTTCTGCTTGGGCGCTGCTCCGCCTGCAGCATGGCAGGCTGACACGGGGACACGGGCAGGTCCGCCGGGTCCTGTGTGAAGGGCCCTAGTTCCGCCCGAGCTCTTCTGCCATTTTGGGGTGCTGTGGTGGGACCCGGCCCTGCCCTGCTCCAGACTCGGGGAGTGTCCCCGCAGACGCCTGGTGGAGCTGGCACCCTCTGCCCGGCAGCCCAGGATGCTGACTGTCAGCCGGGCACAGGGATCTGGGGGGGGGGCTGGATGAAGGGGCGGCTCAGTGGAGGTAGGGCTTGGGGGGCATAGGGGCAGCACCTTTGGGGGCTCCAGGGTCCCCAAGGAGGAGCAGCTTCTCTGCTCTCCTGTCTCTCGGTGCAGGCCCCCTGGGAATGGGCCCCTTGGTGAGAAGGAAGGGTTCGGGCCACAGCGGGCAGGGAGAGTGTCTCAGGAGAGAAGCTGCCCACGCAGCTCAGTGAGGAGGTGCCCGTCCACGTGGGCCGTGCGAGTACCCCCGGCCTGTGTGGGGTCATGCAGGTCCCCCGAACCCGTGTGGGCTGTGCAGGTACTGCAAACCTATGTGGGGCCACCAGGTGTACCCCGAGCCTGTGGGAGCCGTGCGGGTCCCCCAGCCCGTGGGGGCCGTGCAGGTACACGTGGCTGGCTCGGGTTCCCGAGTGGCCCCTGCTCTGCAGGTGGGGCGGCCCAGCTGGCGGGCGGGCGGGCGGGCGGGCGCGTGTCCCTGTGGAGCCGGTAACCGGAGCCCGGCCAGGGTGGAGGTAATGCTACCTGAGCCCAGGCCTGGGTTTCCCTGGAGCCGAGAAGCTTCTGTGTGGGAACCACCATGGCTTGGTGGGTGCCCGGGTGCGGCTGCCATCCTGCCCTCCCGCGTGCCCGCCTGCTGCCATGTCTGTGCTCCTGGGCCCTGGCAGGGCCCACCGCATCCTGCAGCCGCTCGGCTGTGCAGTGCTCGGACACCACCGCTTCCAGCCCTGGCCGAAAGTGACCCCTCCGGCCTTGTGCCCCACGGGTGGGGCCAGTGCAGCGAGTGGGACTCAGTCTAGAGTGGGGGCGCGAAGCAGGGGTCAGGGGCCAGTGTGCCAGCGAGACACGAGCCGATGAGTGGGCAGGAGTGAGGGAGGGGCCATGAGTGAGTGAGGGGGGGGAGCGGATGGGACCAGGTGGGTGGGTAAGGATGACAGCGGGTGAGTGAGCCACTGCCCTGGGTAGGCTTGCCTTCAGGTGCTTCCGGGAGCCCGGGCTGTGCAGGTTGGGGACAGTGGGGGACGCGCAGGGGACTCAGCTGGCCTTGCTTCCGGCCCCCACAGGCACACGGCTAGGCGCCAGAGGTGGGCAGGCGGGGTCCAGGCCCTCAGGCTGTGCAGGGCCCGGTGGGCGAGCGCGGGCACCCAGTGGGCATTGTGCGGAGCCCCTGGCCTGGGGCTGTCCTCGGGCAGTGGGTGCGACGGGGCCCGCTGGCTTTGGGACTCAGTGGGAGGCTGGTGGGTGCCCGTGAGCGATGAGCGCGAGACCCCGGCACCCTCTGGTGGGGGCGGGGCTGGGGCGTGGCCCCTGCAGCTCCCGTCCGGCCCTGAGACGGAAGCGGGTTGGTGGGTGCGGCAGGGCGCCCGCTGGGGGTGCAGGGGCCTCCTTTGCAGTCTGGGGGCTGCCTTGGGGCAGGTCCCCTGACCGCAGCCCCTGCCCACAGCGCTCCTTCACGCTCATCGTGGAGGCCTGGGACTGGGACAACAGCAGCACGCCCGACGGTGAGTGACGGGCCCTGCCGCGGGGTCTCGGGGCGGACCTGAGGGTCGTGGCTGCCCCCGTGGGGTGTCTGCACTGGAATCAGGATGTTCGGGGTCGGGCCCTGGCGGGAACGTGTTGGGGCTCCTGAGCCGTCACAGGAAGGGGGCAGGAGGTGGGGGCTGCAGGGGCAAGGTGGGCGGGCCGGGCTCACTGGCTGCCCCGCAGAGGAGCGGCTCATCGAGCGCGTGTCCCACGCGGGCATGATCAACCCCGAGGACCGCTGGAAGAGCCTCCGCTTCAGCGGCCACGTGGCGCACCTGGAGCTCAGCATCCGCGTGCGCTGCGGCGAGAACTACTACAGCGCCGCCTGCAACAAGTTCTGCCGGCCGCGCCACGACTTCTTCGGCCACTACACCTGCGACCAGTACGGGAACAAGGCCTGCCTGGACGGCTGGATGGGCAAGGAGTGCGAGCATGGTGCGTGGGCGCCGAGGGCTGGCGGGAGGGGGCGGGGCGCGGGGGGCGGGCTCTCAGCGACCCTCTCTCCGCAGCTGTGTGCAAGCAGGGCTGCAGCCTGCTCCACGGGAGCTGCGCCGTGCCCGGGGAGTGCAGGTGAGCGAGGGAGCCCGGGAGGAGGGGCCCCAGGGAGACCCCGAGCGGCGGAGGAGGAGGCACAGGTCGGGTGGGGCTGGCTGCCCGCGGGGAGGCGCCCAGGGGTGCGCAGGGACAAAGGCGACCTGGCCCATGCCGCAGGTGCTCTGCTCACCGACCCCCGGGAGTGGCGGCCCTCGGGTGTCCCTGCCTGGGGGACACTGCGGGGGTGTAGGTGAGCCCCGCCCGCCCTCTGGCTGGGCCTGTGGGTGAGGCCCAGCTGCTGCCCCGCGGCTCAGGTTTCGCCGGATGCAGCCTGCGGAGAGGAGATGGCCTCGCCTTCCCGCCCAGCCAACCAGGGGAGCAGGGTGGGGGTGCCAGGCTGACACGCCTTCAGGACCCCCTGGCTGCTGGCGTGAAGGAAGGATTGCTTTGGACAAGGCCCAGACCCCTGGGCGGCCCCCATGTGTCTCCCTGTGCCCTGGGCCTGGTCTGCCCTGGCGGTGGGTCAGGAGGGCACGCCTGGCGGGCCTGGAGGCAGCTGCAGCCCTGGGAAAGGTGCTCCGCCATGCCTGCTACCCCCCAGGGTGCACGCGGAGGGCCAGGTGGGCAGCCAGGACCCTGCGCATCAGCCACTCGGGATGAGGGAGGAGCCCTTGGCCTGAAGGTCACACAAGGTCACAGAGCCAGGCCTGCACCTATGCGTGAGCACTCCTGCTCGCGGGGTCCCCCAGGGCCTCCCCAGCCCCGCGCCTGCTCCCGGGGCCCCACTCAAGGGCGAGTCTCAAAATAGATCGGAGTGGACGGACTGGACAGCTGGCCGGCCACCTGCGCCCAGCGCCCGGAAAGTGCCCGCAGGAAGGCCGGCAGCCCCGCCAGGCTCAGGCCTGGCCAGTTCAGAGGCCACTGGCCAGGGGCGGTGACCGGCGGCTCCGTGCCCGTGGTCCCCCTCCAGGTGCAGCTACGGCTGGCAGGGGCGGCTCTGTGACGAGTGTGTCCCGTACCCTGGCTGCGTGCACGGCAGCTGCGTGGAGCCTTGGCAGTGCAACTGTGAGACCAACTGGGGCGGCCTGCTCTGCAACAAAGGTACGATGGGCTGCGGGGGGCCGGGACGCGGGGGCCGCGCGGGCCCCACTCTGAGCCGGCCCTGCCCCCCCAGACCTGAATTACTGTGGGAACCATCGCCCCTGCATCAACGGGGGCACGTGCATCAACGCCGAGCCCGACCAGTACCGCTGCGCGTGCCCTGATGGCTACTCGGGCAAGAACTGTGAGCGTGGTAGGTGCCCGCCCCCCGGGCAGGAACTGTGAGCCTGGTAGATGCCCCTTCCCCGGGTGAGAACTGTGCGCGTGGTACGTGCCCGTTGCCGCCAATTCCACCTCTGCCCCCTCTCGCAGCTGAGCATGCCTGTGCCTCCAACCCCTGTGCCAACGGCGGCTCCTGCCACGAGGTGCCCTCGGGCTTCGAGTGCCACTGCCCGTCGGGCTGGAGCGGACCCACCTGCGCGCTCGGTGAGCCCCCGCAGGGTGGGTGTCGGGGGCGGGGTGGGCGCGGCTGCGGGGACTCACGCCCGCACCCTCCCGCAGATATCGACGAGTGCGCCTCCAACCCGTGCGCCGCGGGGGGCACCTGCGTGGACCAGGTGGACGGCTTCGAGTGCCTGTGCCCGGAGCAGTGGGCCGGGAGCACCTGCCAGCTGGGTGAGGGCCCGCGCCGCGCGGTGCATGGGCTGAGCTGTGCATGAGCTGCCGCGCTGCTGGGCTGCGGGACCCCATGCTCGCCCCCTTGTCTCGTTCACAGACGCCAATGAGTGTGAAGGGCGGCCGTGCCTTAATGCTTTTTCTTGCAAAAACCTGATTGGTGGCTATTACTGTGATTGCCTCCCGGGCTGGAAGGGCGCCAACTGCCATATCAGTCAGTATGGGTGGGTGGGGGCGTGGGCGGGGCTGGGGCGCCCAGAGGACCCCCCTGACCCGCCCTGTGACCCGCAGACATCGACGACTGTCGCGGGCAGTGCCAGCACGGCGGGACCTGCAAGGTGAGGCTGTGCACGCGGGGGGCCGCGGGGGGGCCACGAGGGGCCGCGGGGGTCATGGCTCACCCCCCCACCTGCCACAGGACCTGGTGGACGGCTACCAGTGTGCGTGTCCGCGGGGCTTCGGTGGCCGGCACTGTGAGCTGGAGGTGGACCCGTGTGCCAGCAGCCCCTGCCTCGCCGGGGGCCTCTGCGAGGGCGTGGCGGGGGGCTTCCGCTGCCACTGCCCCAAGGGCTTCTCGGGGCTGCTCTGTGAGGTGAGACCCGGGAGGGCCCGGTCGCCCCGCAGGCTGGGAGGGGCTCCCGGACAGCGCCCGGGCAGGGCGGGCGAGCGAGAAGGCAGCGGGGCGCCGGGAGGGCCTTCCTGCCGGATGCCCCGCTGCAGAGGAAGTCTGCTGCCCTGGAGGCCAGGTGCTTCCGCCCGAGCCAGCCCGGGGCCAGGAGCCCTGGCTCTGGCGCTAGCCGGAGCCTGTCCACCGCCCTGTTCCCCGGGAGGGGACCGGCTCCTCAGCGGCCCGCGACCCGCAGGTGGACATCGACTTCTGCGATCCCAGCCCCTGCCAGAACGGCGCGCACTGCTACGACCTGGAGAGCGACTACTACTGCGCGTGCCCCGAGCACGTGGGCGGCAAGAACTGCTCGGTGCCCCGCGAGCCGTGCCCGGGCGGGGCCTGTGAAGGTGGGCCCGGGAGGGGGCCTGCAGGGTCAGTGAAGTGGGCCCGTGGCTGGGGTGGGCACGGCACTGGGCGGACCGGTGAGGTGGGTGGGGCCCGGCAAGAGGGTCCTGGGCGCTCAGAGGTGGGCGGGGCCCGTGGGGCTGCGGGCGGGGCCTGGAGAAGTGGGGTGCAGCCTGGCCCCAGCCCTCCCTCCCGCTCCCTGCAGTGATCGACAGCTGCAGCTTCCAGGCGGGGCCCCGAGGGGCCGGCGCTCTGCCCTCTGGCTTGTGCGGCCCTCACGGACGCTGTGTCAGCCTTCCCAGGGGCAACTTCTCGTGCATCTGCGACAGTGGCTTCACGGGCACGTACTGCCATGAGAGTGAGTGGTGCTGGGACCGACCGGGGTGTGAGTGGCGGCGTGCCGCTCGCTGGGCCCCAGCTCATGAGTCTGCACCCCTGCAGACATTGACGACTGCCTGGGCCAGCCTTGTCGAAACGGCGGGACGTGCATCGACGAGGTGGACGCCTTCCGGTGCTTCTGCCCCAGCGGCTGGGAGGGCGAGCTGTGTGACACCAGTGAGTGGGCCATCCCACTCTGTCCGGCTCTGGGCACCTGGGCACCAGCCCCAACTGGCTCGCCTCCAGCCTGGCCCCGCCCATCACGTCCTGACCCCGCCCATCACTCGCCCTGCCCACTGTCCCAGACCCGCCCCTTCCACCTGGCCCCGCCCACTGTGCACCAACCGCCCTCAACTCTGGCCACGCTCACCTTAACCTGGCCCCGCCCCAGGCCCACTTCTACTCTGCCTACTGTGCCCCCGTATCTCTCCTGCTTGAAAAGCGGTAGGGCGTTTGCCTTGCACGCAGCCAACATGGCCAACCCGAGTTCGATTACTCCGTCCCTCTCGGAGAGCCCGGCAAGCTACCGAGAGTATCTCGCCCTCACGGCAGAGCCTGGCAAGCTACCTGTGATGTATTTGATATGCCAAACACAGTAACAATAAAGTCTCCAATGGAGACGTTACTGGGCCCGCTCGAGCAAATCGATGATCAACGGGAGGGCCTTTACCTTTACCTTTACTGTGCTCCTGGCCTGTCTCCAGCCTAGTCCCGCCTCCACTCTGGCCACGCCCACCCCTCGTTGACCACGCCCATCTCTCCCTGACCACGCCTCCAGCCTGGTTCTGCCCATCGCCCTGGCCCCACCTCCTGCTGAATGCCAGCCCTGCCCAGTGCGAGCCCCGCCCCCCAGGCCCCCTGCTGCACCTGACTCTGGGGTCACCCCACCTATCCCCAGCCTCACCAGCCCCTAGCCGGGTGTCACCTGGTCAGTCGGGTTCCTGCAGCCCAGTTCTCCCCACCTCTGTCTCCCTGGCCCAGCTCCGGTTCCTCCTCCCCCAGCCCCCCCTGAGCGCCGGGGACCCCCGCTGACCGGCGTCCTCGCCCCCAGATCCCAACGACTGCCTCCCTGATCCCTGCCACAGCCGCGGCCGCTGCTACGACCTCGTCAACGACTTCTACTGTGCCTGCTCCGAGGGCTGGAAGGGCAAGACCTGCCACTCCCGTGAGTGCTGGGTCGGTGGGAAGCCTGCCACTCTCGGGGGCGCTGGGGCAGAGGACGTGCCACGGGACCCTGGCTAAGTGCCCCCTGTGCCCACAGGTGAATTCCAGTGCGACGCCTACACCTGCGCCAATGGCGGCACCTGCTATGACAGCGGTGACACCTTCCGTTGTGCCTGCACCCCTGGCTGGGAGGGCAGCACATGCAGTGTGGGTGAGTGGGCATCCAGGGGCACCCGAGGACGGGTGAGTGGGCATCCGGGGGCACCCGAGGGCGGGTGAGTGGGCATCCGGGGGTACCCGAGTGTGGGTGAGTGGGCATCCGGGAGCACCCGAGGGCGGGTGAGTGGGCATCCGGGGGCACCCGAGGGCGGGTGAGTGGGCATCCGGGGGCACCCGAGGGCGGGTGAGTGGGCATCCAGGGGTACCTGAGTGTGGGTGAGTGGACATCCGGGAGCACCCGAGGGCGGGTGAGTGGGCATCTGGGGGCACCCGAGGGCGGGTGAGTGGGCATCCAGGGGTACCTGAGTGTGGGTGAGTGGACATCCGGGAGCACCCGAGGGCGGGTGAGTGGGCATCTGGGGGCACCTGAGGGCGAGTGAGTGGGCATCCAGGGGTACCTGAGTGTGGGTGAATGAGCATCCAGGGGCGCCCGAGGGCGGCCAGGTGGTCACCCTGGCTGGGCTGGGCGGCAGTGGTGGAGTGTGACCTCCCCCCTCTCTCCCCCAGCCCAGAACAGCAGCTGCCTGCCTGACCCGTGTGAGAATGGGGGCACGTGTGTGGGCAGCGGCGATTCCTTCTCCTGCATCTGCCGAGACGGCTGGGAGGGCCGTACCTGCACGCACAGTGAGTGGGCCCGCACCCCCAGTCCCCTCGCCCCTGCCCCTTCCCAGCCGCGTGGCACGAGCCCGCCGCTGACTGTCTTCTTCTCTCCCGCAGACACCAATGACTGCAGCCCCCTGCCTTGGTGAGTGCCGGCCTGGGGGTGGACACTGGGCCCCTGCCCCAGGCGCCGCTCACGCCCTCTTCTCCTCCAGCTACAACGGCGGCGTCTGCGTGGACGGCGTGAACTGGTTCCGCTGCGAGTGTGCGGCCGGCTTCGCGGGTCCCGACTGCCGCATCAGTGAGCCGGGGCCGGTGGCGTGCTGGTGGGGGGTCCTGTGCCCGTGCCCCAGGGGCTGTGCAGCCCTGCTGTCCCCGGACGGCCCTTCCCAGAGAGAGAAGACACTGGGCGCCGGCGCTTAGGGGCCAGGGGGCCGCTGCTGGGCACCCGGGACTGTCCGGTGGCCCCGCCCCGCCTTCCTGCTCGCAGTATAGGCCTGGCCACTGAGTCGCGCCCTCCCCGCAGACATCGACGAGTGCCTGTCCTCGCCCTGTGCTTATGGGGCCACCTGCGTGGACGAGATCAACGGCTATCGCTGCAGCTGCCCGCCGGGACGCTCAGGCCCACGGTGCCAGGACGGTAGGTGGTGCGAGCAGGTGGGCAGGGCTGGGGAGGGAGGCGGGGCCGGTGGGCAGGGCCTGCTGGGGGCGGGGCCTGGCATGTGGGCAGGACCAGATGGGTGGAGCCTGGTCTGTGGGCGGGGCCTGGTCTGCGGGCGGGGCCTTGGGTGGGGTCAGGCTGCAGCGGCACCCCACCGACTCCGCCCTCTGCTCAGTGGTGGTGTTCGGGAGGTCTTGCTGGTCACAGGGCGTGCCCTTCCCTCACGGGAGCGCCTGGCTGGAGGACTGTAACAGCTGCCGCTGCCTGGACGGCCGCCGGGACTGCAGCAAGGTGCGGCACACCTGCAATGGGGCCCGGGATCCAGCTGGGGCGGGGGTCCCCCTGGAGGTCCAGCCCCTGCCTCCCCCTCTGCCGGAGCCCTGAACCTTTCCCCCCTCACCCTCTCCCTGTGCCCCCGCTCCCTGTGCAGGTGTGGTGTGGCCGGAAGCCTTGCCTGCTGGCCGGGCGGCCCGACGCCCTCAGTGCCCAGTGCCCTCCCGGGCAGCAGTGCCTGCAGAGGGCGCCGGGCCAGTGCCTGCAGCCGCCCTGCGCGGCCTGGGGCGAGTGCGGGGCGCAGGAGCCCCTGCTGCCCCGCACCCCGTGTCTGCCGCGCTCCGGCCACCTGGACAACAACTGTGCCCGCCTGACGCTGCGCTTCGACCACAGCCAGGTGCCCCAGGTGAGCGGGCCCTGCCCAGCCCCTCTGGCCGTGGGCAGCCGCGGGGCTCCGGGGCGCCCCGTGAGCCCTCTCATGTGCTGTCCTTGCTGCCAGGGCACCACTGTGGGCGCCATCTGCTCGGGCATCCGGGCTCTGCCCGCGGCCAGGGCCGTGGCCCGGGACCGCCTGCTCGTGCTGCTCTGTGACAGGCCGGCGTCGGGGGCCAGCGCCGTGGAGGTGGCCATGGTGAGTGTCGGGCCCTGTGGGTGGTCGGCGAGGCGCCCCAGGAGGGGCCAAGGGAGGGGTTAGGCGAGGGGCTGGGGGAGGGACACGGGAAGAGACAGCCCTGTGCTCTGGGATCACTCCCAGCGGGGCTCGAACCCAGGTCTGCCATGTGCACGGCAAGCACCTCTCCTGCTGTGCCATTGCGCTGGCCCACGGTTGGGGCCTTGGTAGGGTTGGGCCCGTTTCACTCTGCCCCCATGACAGTGACACCCGCTTCTCACGCTGGCCTCCACCCCCTGTGCTGTCCAGGGGCATTTCCCAGGTGCTCTTCTGGCGGAAGGGGGGGGGCGGCTTCGGGGTCCTGGGGCAGGGGTGGCTGCTGAGGGCCCCCGGCGGGTGTCGCCGCAGTCCTTCAGCCCAGCGTGGGACCTGCCGGACAGCAGCCTCATCCAGAGCGCAGCGCACGCCATCGTGGCCGCCGTCACGCAGCGCGGGAACAGCTCCGTGCTGCTGGCCGTCACCGAGGTCAAGGTGGAGACGGTGGTGATGGGCGGCTCGTCCAGTGAGTGGGGCGCGGGGTCCCGCGGGGTGCGGGGAGGGTCGGCGCGCCCGCCCCCCCACCCAACCTCACGCCTTCCGCCCGCGCAGGGGTGCTGGTGCCCGCGCTGTGTGGCGTGTTCAGTGTGCTGTGCCTGGCGTGCGTGGCCGTCTGCGTGTGGTGGACCCGCAAGCGCAGGAAAGAGCGGGAGAGGAGGCGGCTGGCCCCCGAGGACGGCGCCAACAACCAGTGGGCCCCACTGAACCCCATCCGCAACCCCATCGGGCCGGGCAGCTCCTCCGGTGCAGGCGCCCGCAAGGCCGTGCTGTACCCCTGCAAGAGCTTCCCACCAGCGCCGCACCGGGCAGGCCCCGCAGAGGACGAGGACGACGATTCCGGCCGGGGGCCGGCCTGCCCGGAGGTGGAGAAGTTCCTCCCGCACAAATGCACCAAAGAGCCCGGCTGCTCGCCTGGGAGAACCGCCCGCTGGGCCCCGGGCCCCAAAGTGGACAACCGTGCGGTCAGGAGCGGCCGCGAGTAGGATGGGGGCAGGACTCTGGCCGGGGGGCGCCCGGCACCCCCGGCCCCCGGGAGGCCGAGGTCGTGTGCAAAGTTTCTTTATTTTGTGTAAAAAACACCAAAAACAAAAAACAAATGTTTATTTTCTACGTTTCTTTTACCTTGTATAAATTATTTGATAACTGTCAGCGGAAAACAACGGAGTATTCTCGGATAGTTGCTATTTTTGTAAAGCTTCTGCGTGTCGCGCTGTGGCTGCAGGCGGCAGGGGCCGCCTCGCAGCCCGGGGCAGACGCTCTTCCCAGAGGCTGTGCACTGTTTACAGAATCTTCCTTTGATTCCTCACCTGGGGGTCTCTCGACTCCAGGCCAAAGAGCCAGTGGGCCCGGGCGGAAGTGTGGCCCGTGGCAGACTGTGACCCGTGGCAGACGGTGGCCGTGGCCCAGCGAGGCCCGTGGCAGATGGTGGCCAGCCCGTAGTAGATGGTGACTATGGTTCCGTGTGGCCCATGGCAGATGGTGACCATGGTTCGGTGTGGCCCGTAGCAGACAGCCATGATTCAGCGTGGCCTGTGGTAGATGGTGACCAGCTGTGGCCGACAGTGGCCATGGTTCAATGTGGCCCATGGCAGGTAGTGACCATAGTTCAGTGAGGCCCGTCGCAGACGTGGTTCATGGTTCAGTGTGGCCCATGGTGGATGGTGACCATGGTTCCGTGGCCAGTGGCAGACAGTGGCCATGGTTCAGTGAGGCCCGTGGCAGACTGGTTCATGGGTCAGTGTGGCCAGCGGGTCAGTGACCCGTGGCCGTTGGTCAAACCTGGGTCCTGCAGTGTCGCATGGGTCATCAGAACCGTGCTAGTGTGGCCCGTGGTCACTGGCGGGACCTCTGGCTCTTAAGGGGCCCCTGGCGCCGTGGGACTCGGCACGGCACCCGGTCGTGAGCAGGGCCGAGGCCCGGTCTGCTCTGCTCGGCCTCTCGCTCGCCCTGCTGGACTCGCCCGTCCACTCTGCTTTCGGAAGTGCCCTTCCCGACTGCCCTGCGCCCGGGACGCCCGGGCAGCTCACAGCTGTGACAAGTGCCTTCACGTGGACTCTCCCTCACAGCTGCGGGCGTCGCCGCGGGCGCCACCTCGTGAAAGCGTGTTTCTGTGAATATGTACATATTAAACGGATCACTCTGCATATTTGATTTCCTAACTTAAACTTTGGCCTCCCTGTTCTTTTGGGCGTTGCTCTGATGTCACCGCTGGGGGCCGGGGGTGCGCCTGCCGCCCCTCTCTGGGGCGCTCTCCCTGGAAGGGAGGGGGCGGCCACATTTGGGGGAGCCCCCCCGGGAGCAGCCACAGTCTGGAGGCTCATGTGGCCCGAGGTTGGACGGCCGCCCCAGGGCCAGTGACTGAGCCAGGGACAAAGCCGAGAGAGGCCAGGAGGGGCCGAGCCTTGGGGCCGGGGGCGTCTTCCCCGAGCTATGGGGGGCTGGGCCAGGACTCAGCAAAGACATGAAGCTTTGGAGGGGGAGCTTGTCCGGGCCACACCCAGCCGTGCTTGGGGCTTACTCCTGGGTCTGTGCTCAGGCTTGGGGGCAACCTATGTGGTATTGGGGGCCAGGCCCAATGCCTGCCCACTGCCCTCACTCCAGCCCGTCGTTCGGTTCGGAAACTCCTCTGAAGGGTGCTAACCGGCCCGAGGAGCCGGCACAGCCGAGCCTTCCGGGCCTGCCCTGCACCAGAACCCAAGGGCACTCTGGAAAGGGCTGAGGGGTGCCCGACCTCAGTGGCCTCAGACGCTGCCTCCAGGGCGGCCTCTAAGCTGCCACGCGTGTCTCCCTCAGTTCCGAGCCGGGTTCTTTCCTGGCAGGTGTGCTGGGCCCGGGGTGGTGCTGGGGACACCCAGGCCCATCCAGCTCAGCCATGGGGACGGGGCAGTGCGGGGGCAGAGCCGGCCTGCCCGTCCCCTTGTGCCCGCGCTGGCCTGGCTCCAGCAGACGTGAGAGCTCCAGGCGAGACCGGCGCCCCAGCCCGCGGCTGCCTCGGGGACCAGCAGGGCTCTGCCTGGTGACAGCCCTGGGAAACCGGCCCTGGGGAGCAGAGCGGGCGCACACTCGCCCCTAGGGCCGGGCGGGGCCGCACGACCCATGGACACTGGCCAGAGGGCCACAGGCCTGGGGGGACCCGCCTGCTCCAGGCTCCCTGGCCCTGGAGCTTTCTGGAAGCCGACCTAGAGTGGAGGTAGGAGGAGGAGACGGAAGGGGAGGGGGGGGAGGAGGAGGAGGAGGAAGATGGTGAAGGGAGGAGGGGGAAAGGATGAGGAGGGGAGGGGAGGAGGACAGGAAAGAAAAAGGAGGAAAGAGGAGAGGAAGAAAGGGGAGGACAGAGAGGAGGGGTGAAGGGGAGGAGCAAAGGGAAGGGGGAGGGGAGGGGGGAGGAGGAGAGGGAGGGGGCCGCATCCTGGGGGCTAAACCAGGTGGGGCGCTGCTGCTATTGGGGGCACCGTCCTGACGCTTGGAGGAGACCCAGGGAGGCCTGGCCTTGTGGGGGCACCTGGTGGGTGCGGGTTCGTCAGCCCGCAGTGGAGTGAGGCTGGTGCTTCCCCGCGAGTCCAGCCAGGAGCCGGGGCCAGGGAAGGGTTTGAGGGGGGCGGCCATGCACTTCACACACCCCAGACAGCAGTGACCAGGAGCAGCCACGGCCCCAAGGATTGTCTCCCCTCCAGGGTGCTCAGAGCCACCAGACAGCAGCTGTGCGCAGCCTGTGGCCACAGCCCTGCAGCGGCCAGGAGTGAGGACCAGCAGGGCCAAGGAAATGCGCCAGCCCTGTGGCCAGACGGAGTGTCCAGGAGGCGCCAGGGGCCCCTCGGCCAGTGCCGCAGACTGAGGGTCTCGGGCGTCACCGAGCATGAGCCCTGGATCCGGGGGGTCCCTCATGCCCAGGGACGGTGTGTGGGGCCCCGGCACAGGCCAGGGGAAGCGTCCTGTCAGAACAGGAGAGAGTGCGTGTGCACGTGTGTGAATATGTGTGTGTAAGTGTGAGTGCATATGTGTCTGAGTGAGTCCATGTGAGCCTGTGTGAGTGCGTGTGAGTAGCTGAGTGTGTACGTGTGCATGTGTGTGTGTGAGTGTGTGACTGTGTGGGTCAGGCTGAGACTGCCAAGAGAACTGTGTCTAGCCCTCCTCGGGACCCTCAGCCAGCTGAGGCCTCGCCCAGAGGTGGGCGTGAGACCGACACTGACCAGCAGGCCCGGGGCCCCTCGCACCACGCCGGGCTCTCCGGAGGTGAGGACAGTCCCGGCCCAGTGCAGCCCCGTGGAGGACCATTCACCGTCACAGTCTGCCACGCAGACAAGAGACACGGGATGTGGTGGCCGGAGCATCAGCAGTGCCCAGGGCGCTTGACCCAAAGGGAAAAGGACAGATGTAAGCGGGCACCGACAGAGAAGGCGGGAAAGCGGACCCGCAGCAGTCGCTCTCCTCGCCGCCGGGAGACTGGCCTGTGGCGCCCGGGGGCTCGGTCAGTGTCTGAGTGGAAGGGGCCTTGCCGGGTGACCAGCACCCCCGCCACCGGGAACCTGCGAGCGTCCGGCTAGGTGTGTGTCTGAGGACAGCCCGTCCCTCCCGGAGTGGCCCCGGGGAAGCAGCGTGTGTGGTGTGTGAGCTTGGAGAGAAGCGGGTGCCCCTCTTCCCAGGAACGCTGTGAGGGGGTGGCCCAGACAACGCAGTTGGCCACAGTGTGTGCGTGTGCACGTGTGTGCACATGTGTGTGTGCACGCTTGTATGTGTACTTTTTTTTTTTTTTGCTTTTTGGGTCACACCTGGCGATGCACAGGGGTTACTCCTGGCTCTGCACTCAGGAATTACTCCTGGCGGTGCTCAGGGAACCATATGGGATGCTGGGAATCGAACCCAGGTCGGCCGCGTGCAAGGCAAATGCCCTACCCAATCTGCTATCACTCCAGCCCCTGTGTGTGCACGTTTGTGTGTGTACAGGGGGCTGCTGATGCTCCTTCCGGGTCAGGGAGAGGCTTTTTCTTTCCAGGGTCCAATACTTTCATTTTATTTAGTTTTGGGCTTTGAGCCACGCCCGACAGTGCTCAGGGATCACTCCTGGCGGTTTGGTGGGGGGGTCATATGGGATGCCAGGGATCGAACCTGGGCCAGTCACGTGCAAAGCGATGCCCTCTCCGCTGAACTATGGTTGTGGCCCATGGATCCTTTAATAGTCCCTGGACAGTATCTTCCCTTTTGGCTTGGACAGCTCAGAAACGCAGCACACCCCCAGCGGAGCCACAGCACTGGGAGGCAGCCTCACCCGCCAACCATGGAAGGGTTAAGGGCTGAAATCTATTTTTTTTTCCATTTTTGGGTTACACCCTGCAATGCACAGGAGTTACTCCTGGTTCATACACTCAGGAATCACTCCTGGCGGTGCTCGGGGGACCATATGGGATGCTGGCAATACGTTGAATGCAAGGCAAATGTTCCTACCCACTGTGCTATCACTCCAGCCCCTCTTTTTTTTTTTCCTTTTTTTTTTTTGCTTTTTGGGGGTCACACTCGGTGATGCACAGGGGTACTCCTGGCTCTGCACTCAGGAATCACCCCTGGCGGTGCTCGGGGGACCATATGGGATGCTGGGAATCGAACCTGGGCCGGCCGTGTGCAAGGCAAACTGCTTATAGGGCTACCTGCTATGCTATTGCTCCAGCCCCAAGGGTTGAAATCTTAATTTTTTTTTTTTTTTGGCCACACCTGGTGGTGCTCAGGGCTGACTCTCGGCTCTGAGCTCCGGGACCTCTCCCGGTGGGCTCAGGGGATCAGTTGGGGTATTGAGGATCGAACCTGAGCCCGGGGTGGCTGTGTGCAGCAAGCACCCTACCTCTGCACCGTTGCTCTGACCCGGGCCTGAAATCTTTACGTGGGGAATGGTGCGGGTGGACACGGGCACTGGTGATGAGCTTTTGCAGGAAATAAAAGAAAGAAGAAATCAGGCCAGAGCAGTAGTGCAGCGACTAACCTGCGTTTGACCCCTGGCACCCCGTATGGCTGCTCAAGCCCCCCCAGGACTGAGCCCTGAGCAACAAACCCATGAAGAAATGTCTGGTCAGCAGCCCTGACCTGTCCAGGAGCGGGACCCCTCGGGGATGCAAACCTTGAGCTCTTGGGTGATGGAGAAACTGAGGCATTGCCCAGAGAAGGGTAGTGGGCCCTTCAAAAAAGGAAGCTCCACGAGAAACAGATGGTGATAAGAGTCGGCAAAGACCCAAGAGTGCGGGCTTTGCATCTGGATGGCGCGGGGGAGAGCCCCCGCTAAAGCAGGCCCGGGCCTGGGGAGCCGCGGAGCACCCCCTCGCTCTCTCCCCTGGGGGAGCCCCTGTTAGCTTGTCTTAGCATGTATTTATTTTGTGTTTTTGGCCACAGCTGGCAGTGCTCAGAGCTTACCCCCGGCTCTGCACTCAGGAATTACTCCTG